TCCTAGATCCACCTGTTTTTATCATGCAAACGCAATAATTAAACAGGTAATAATCATTAAAGAATTGTTGGTTGGTAGTTTTAGTTTGTCTCAATACTCTGCTATTAGATAAAGGATGGAGCTGGACGTTAATACATTATGAAAAGTAAGTCTTTCAATGAGAAATTGTAAGGAAGTATAACTTACCAAACGTTTGTTTTACAGAAGGAAGATAGTTTCTTCATCCACTTCGGGGGACCTGATTTTCATATTTGTGGCAACCCCACCAAGCAATTCTGTAATAACTTCCAAGTCAGTTTGTGTGTGTGTGTGTGTGGGGGGGGGGGGGGTCATAATGTCATATATATGGAAGGGATTGTACAACAGATGAGAGAAGAAATCAAGAAAGAAACAGAAGGAATTGAGTCTTTCTTTTTAGCAACTACGTTAGATAAGGCAAACATTGGTCAAAAGATATCTAACAGGGCTGGAAAAATATAATAATTTGTAGAGACGCAGAAAAACTGTGAAAAACCTGGCTCAAGGAGGTGGACAACATTTTCAACAATCTATAATCAACAATTAGAAAAATGAAGAAATAAGACATACAGCTCTCTTATCCCAGCTGTTAGACGTCAACAACATATGCAAGTGATAGTGGAATATCACTGCAAAAAATAAGGAGAGTTGAGGATGGAAAAGCTGAAGTCATCTCGTTTTCATACAATTTAGTTATTACTTAATTGGCCCTAATCATCTTTAGTCAGCAAAAAACTGAAGTAAATTGCAAGCATTCCTTCTGGAATAAAACCGTTGTATTCAATAGTTTGTTTTGAGACCAGTGAAGCGAAGCTTGAGTTTGTGGTAAAGACAAAGCCTTTAAATGGATCTGAGAAGGAAAAGGTCAACTTCCCTAGCTTATTTATATAGTAATATTCCACCATCGCCTGCATATGGTGTTTATGTCTCCCAACTGATTCAATACGCAAGAGCATGCTCTGCTCTGAGTTCGATAAATTTTTTAACCGAGGCAAGCTACTAAAAAATCAGTTAATGTTACAAGGATTTAAACATCCCCATTAAAGTCAGCTATTCGCAAATTCTACGTTTGTTATAGTGACCTTGTTTTGTAAATTCACCTGTCGCTAGGTCGTATTTCGTCTGACATGTTTCATACCGTTTGTTAGGTTGTTGCTTTTGTACTATATTTGACTACCGAGTACTCCGTCTATCTGATCGATACATAGGGCTCACGCCAAGCGGGACAGGGGATGCTCACTCCTCCTAGGCACCAGATTCCATGTTTGTTGTTTCAAGAGATCCGTGTTTTTGCCCTGCTCACGATTCATTTTGTTTACTGTATTTATGAAAGTGATCACTGTTCATTTTCTTCACCTTTTACATCAACAGCAAATGTAAATCATATCCCAATGATATCTCAGTGACCAGCCAGGAATTAAGAACTGACATACAGGATGTCTGAATCAGAACAGTGAAGATTGGATACTGATCGCTCTTCATCAAAGATGACATCCACAGGGGCTGTGCTGTACTGGATCAGGAGACGTACTAATTAGTATGTGTTCTCCTGATGAAAGTCATTTCAAGATAGCTAGCTTTCAGGTACAAGAAATAGATAACGATAAACATGAACATCATATTTCTAGAAGTTGGAAACGAAAGTTTTTCTAAAGGAGAATAAAAATTATGACATTTGTGTCTTTGATTAAATGCCAATAGAATGATAGCTGTGGTTGCGACAGACAGAGTCTGATTTCGATATGACGGTATTTCATCCGAGATTATTCCTGCAAACAGTTATAGACTCAATGAGTTACATCATTGTTACACACTCAAAGAGTTAATCATTATTACAGACTCAAAGAGTTACATCATTTTTACACACTCAAAGAGTTACATCGTTATAAGTGATATTAATAATGATTGTCTTCATATTTTGGATCAGAACGGGGCAGTTGTTAAAATGTGTTGAGAATTGTGGATCTCAGACTGAGATCTTTTGGATCGAGTGTGGACAGGGAGGAGAGGTTATAGTTAGGGTTATGTAAAATTAATTTATCCAATGTTTGGAGTAAAAGAAACATCAAATATGTATGAACTCTGATTTATCTTTTACTCGAGATAATTAAAAAAAATTATTACTCACAGTAGCAATAAGTGTTTTGTAGTAAAAATGTTTTCTACTTTAAAAGATCATATGCAAAATGTTTCTATTTTAACTTTTATATGATGTACAAATTATAAATTAATGTGAATTTTCAATCAAAGGGAACTACGGTATAACCTTCTGTCAATCTGCAAGGAAGTTATACTTGTATTCTGCTATTTTCCTCTGAGTGGAGGTAAATTTTAAAAGCAAACTATAGCCATCGGAAGACTTGTTCTCTCTGCGATGCATAATAAAATGACTTAAGACTCGTCATTACACTTGTATTAAATAAAGGAAGCTGATCAAAAATCTCGATTCCATCATTCATCTGTGAACATGGGAAAATATTGGTCACATCATGTTTTCTTCCATCTGTAAAATATAACATATTCATCTTAGCTACTGTAGACTAAAAGTGGGGCTTAAAATGCCCTAGCGTTCAAAAGTCTGAATCCCCCTCTTAAAAGGAGGTTGGATCCTGCCATCAAAAGTAATGAGAATTTTTTATCAAGTATATTTTTAACATTTATACACATAACTACGATGGCCGACAGCGGCCGCCACTTTTGATTCTAAATATTGTCATTTTGTACAGCTTTTTTGTCAATTTTCGTTGACAAATTACACTGTACAACTAAACTGGTAATCCTATATGTCCATATACAGTTTTTACACTGACAATTTACACTGGAGAAAATCATCAAAATTCTTTCTTGTGATATGAAATGAAGATACATAAAACAGGTTACTTGAGGGTGATAAGCTTAAGGTTCTAGCAGAACAGCAAGGTCGGGGTGATTACAGATTAGTATTGTCTTCTAGATATGCTTTCTCGACAGATTGTAGTAATTAATTCATAAAATTCCATGTTGGTGTACCTGCTGGTCACATCATAGGTAACCAGGATGAAATTTTCCAGGTCTATCAGAAATTTGATTTTGTTCATAATCGGACGTGTCTTTGATGTATGAATTTTGTTTTTTTAAACAATGCGCATGAGGAAATGATCACATTAGTTACATGTACCTATATTTTCATTCCCGTACCACATTGGAAAATAATTGGCCGACCAGGTGGAAGTCTTGAGAGGTTGCGTTGGCCTTTAAAAGTGTTTCAAGCGTTTAGTTATTAATTTTATGTATTTAGGGAGCAAATACAGACTCCCACATTTAAGGTTGTCATTTTATTCTTGCTTAAAAACGGGTATATAACCGTATCTAAAGTTTTGTTTATGATGCATTCCATAAACTTTTTATTGGATGCTCACATGTAGAGCTACTTAATCCTGTTTTTCTACCTCTACATAATAGGTAGAATCGAGTTGTCTCATACAATCTGAGGATCGAGATATATCCATTATATTCATGTATATCCATTACAACAAACGTATTACTTTTATTCGCCTTTTTAATTACAATCCCAAGAATATCTTTTTAATGATACAACAAGGTGACAGAATGACGATTTACGTCTAATCTAGGATTAACTGGGTTACGATATCTCAGACTAATTGAGGGTGAAAATCATTAAAATGCTCCTTATCTCTTTCAAGCCACCTGTTTTATGTATCTTAATTTCATATCACACGAAAGAATTTTAATGTTTTTCGCTGGTGTAAATTGTCAGTGTAAAAAGTGTACATGTACATATAGCATTACCAGTTTAGTTGTAATATGTCAACGAAAATTGACAAAAACGCTGTACAAAATGACAATATTCTTAATCAGAAAGTGGCGGCCGCTGTCGGCCATCGTACATAACTTTATTAAAAATCAAAACAAAAAATGGGGGTCAATACTCTTCTTTTGGCGCTACAGAGCATTTAGTTTGACCTTTTTGCACTGTAAATACGTCTTACACATAAATCAATTTTTAAAGTTTTTCCTTCAATATTTTTATTCAAATAAATTATGGGAACAAACTCAGTCTTATTTCATCTTAAATAGAAATTTTCAAATTTATCCGCATGTTCAATTATTTGACCTTTTTGCACTCAGAAATTTTCATTTTTCTGGTATTTAAAATTTAACAAGCAAAAAAATCAATTGAAAGTAATGACATTTTACTGAATTTAAGAAGAATGGTTAAAAGTATCTTATATATTCAGAAAAGAAAATTAAAAGTGGGGGTTTGTGATGTGAATTTTTAGATATTACTAAAATAGTGCTAATTTTAAGCTTAAATTAGGGCTATTTTTTACTTGATTTCCACAATATATTTGCTATATTTATCAAATATGATGATTGAATTCATGACAGTTTATTTAATAGATAATTTAGGACCAGTATAAAACAGTTCACTGCACAAAATAACTATGTGTGCAGACTGCATGTAAAAACAGGAATCCAAACTTAACATACTTTAAATACTTTGAAAGAGAAAAAATGATCATTTTCTTCTAAAAAACCTTCCGCCACAAAAAATAGTTCCTCACTATGCTTTTGGTGTGGAGTTTAATCATGGAGTTTAAGCTAAATATAGTTAAATTGGCATTGTAGAATCCAAATTTATTGTAAGAATTAAAACATTATGCAGAATTTTTGAAATATAGGTTAAGATAAAAATCTGCTCAAAAGCTCAGGAGCGAACCTCGTTAAAATCTTTAATCCACCTCTGTTTACTACATGTCCAATACTAAACCGAAAGTTAAACTTCCGGGGGCAGATCAGAGGAGAAGAGAACACAATAACTTAAACAGGAAATAATCAAGAAAATATTGCTGATTTGGGTTAGGCCTAGTTATATATGCTGTTATCATTGTATCTGTGGTGGAGGCGATTGAGGGGAACATCAATCAATTCTTCGAAAGAGATTTTTTTAAAAGATTAGCATAACTATATTATGTAAATTCAAGAGGTTAACTTTTTTTTACAGGAGGAAGATGGCGTCGTCGTCTACTTGGGCACAGGACGTGATCGCGTGCGATCTTTGTGACAATCCCACCCAGCAATTCTGTAACAACTGCCAGGTCAGTTTATGTGGGGGCTGTATTAATAAACATGTAAAAAGGCTTAAGTCTGAAACACATGACATTGTTCCTTATAAAGATAGAAGAGAACGGCTCGTATTCTTATCATGTGATTCTCATCCAAACCAGAAATGTGAGGGACATTGCCAACAGTGTAATGTACCCGTCTGCTTCAAGTGTGTCACAGGTCCCCACAGCGGCCATGCTGTCAAAGATGTGGCAGAGATTGTACAACAGATGAAAGAAGAAATCAAGAAAGAAACAGAAGAAATTGAGTCTTTTATTTCAAGATTCACTATAAGTGGAGTAAACATTGATCAAAAGATATCTAACATGACTGAAAAATTTAAAACAATGGAGAAAGAGGGAGAAAATCTGAGAAAAACCTGGCACCAAGAAGTAGACAACATTTTCAACACACTACAATCAACCATTCGGAAAATGAAGGATAAAAGACTCACAGCTCTCAGATCACATCAGTCCAGGCTTCAGGATTCAGGGTCAAAATTAGCACTTATAACAAAAGAAAACAAGAAAATCCTGAAGTCCAATAAAGTGTTTGATGTTACAAATTGCAAATCAGAAATTGGGGAATTCAGAAACATTCCTACAGATGTTGATGTGATGATTCCTTCCCTAAAGATGAACACAGTCCAGGGGAAAGAACTGAGTATAGAATTGGGAGAATACAAGGCTACACTGACACAGACATCCATATCCAGTCTGTCAGATGATGTCTCCATTTTATCTGTGAGAAAATTGTTGGACAAAGCTAAAGTTATTGCTAGCTTTCCTTCTGGAATAAAACCTTTAGGTTCCATTATCTGTATTGGAACCAATGAAGCTTGGGCTCGTGGTGTAGACATATTCATAAGACGTATTGATATACATGGTTCTTTGAAGGAGAAGATCACCACCGAATGTGACCCTTATCCGGCGGACATTTCAGTGACCAGGCAGGGAGAACTGATGTACAGTGATGCTAACAGCAGAACAGTGAACATAGTCAGATATGGGAGGATAGAGACACTGATCACTTTACCTAGGGGATGGTATCCAGGAGGACTGTGCTTTACTAGATCAGGAGACTTACTAGTTAGTATGTGTACTGATGAAAGTCATCACAAAATAGTCCGCTATCAGGGACAGACATCAACACAAGAAATAGATAAAGATAACCATGGACAAAATATATTTAAAGGTGGGGAACATAGAGTTTATGTGGAGGAGAATAACAATGGTGACATTTGTGCCTCTGATGTGAATGCCAAGAAAGTGATAGTGGTGGACAAGACAGGAAGAGTCCGATTCCGTTACAATGGTACACCAGCCAGGAGGAAGAAACCATTCTTTCCTGTGTACATTGTGACAGACTCACTGGGTCAGGTCATTATAAGTGATTTTAATAATGACTGTCTTCATATCTTAGATCAAAATGGACAATTTCTTAGATGTGTTGACAATTGTGGACTTCTGAGTCCTGGTGGACTGGGTGTGGACAGTGAGGGGAGGTTGTGGGTAGGGTTACATGATTCAGGTGACATTAAAGTGATCCAGTACCTGAAGTAAAAGTCTGAAACATTCACTATGATATTACATGTATAGGCCTATATACTAGTGTTTAGGGCTGTGTCAATATATCGAATATTCAATACGTATCGATTTTCAGGAATGTATCGTATCGAAAAAATAACTTCCAATACGTATCGGACAGGCAGTTTTCCTAATAATTCTGTAAAAAGGTTGGGAATTTCAGTTACCAAAGATTATTTTTAACTGTTTTGAATTATAAATGAACAATAATGAAATAAACATTAAGGAGATAGCACATCTTAAATAACTATTACAAAATACATAGACAACTATATTTTAACATGTTATGTAAGACTCACCCAGTATTTATCAAATTTATGCATTAAATGTCATTTACAAGACATTTGTGAAAGACTTAATAAATAATCCAATATATCGCATATCGCTTTAAAAAATATCGTATCGTATCGAAATATATTGCTCAATACACAGCCCTACTAGTGTTACCTTTTTAAGAAGATGGGCATTCAAATTGCCTACACCTTTAATTAAATGCATGAAAATCAAATTTGATTTATGAACTCAGAATTTAGAGCAAAGTTATTATTGTTTAAAGGTATGAAATTATAACAAAGAAAACTTTCATCTTTATAAATTATTCTTTGGTAGAGAAAAGTATTGCATGGAATGCAAGCAATGAAAATCTTGAGTATCAAGTTATTAGAGGCTGCCATGTTACACTTCACCACATAACTCATAACAAGTAGTGGTATTCAAATCTTGTTTGTGATGTCCCTTAAATAACTGGACTTAAAATATTCCTCGGAAAGATATGAAAGTTGTGTGATAAGTGTGTATTTTTTTTTTGGTAAAGTGGGTCCTTGCTCACCGAATGATGTATAATTTTACGCATATTTTGAAGATAAACTTCAAAAAGACCCACTCATATGAAAAAAAACTGTAATTGATTGAAGAATAGATCATATTTGCCCTTTATGGTGTGTGCATGCTATTTCATAGACGAATAAATTCTTTATTTAATCGCGATATTGTTTATCTACTGTGACACAGACCCCCCCCCCCCCCCCCCCGAAATACGACTAGGTATTTCGGGTTTGGGCAAGTTGTTTAGGGCTTTTTTCCTCGTCCAAAATTTTTTCTGAGTTTGACATTTGTTAGAGTGATGCAGACATCCCCCCTTCTGGAAAAATTCCTGAAATGGGACCTTCGATCTACAATGCAACAACTCTGCAGCTACTTCGGACTGAATTATGAAAATGGACGATTAAGGAAACCATTTCTAAAATCCCCCCAAATTAGGCTACATTTGTATTTAGAGCTACTTATTCATAAATAAAAGGAAAAAAATGTGAGGGTAAAACTATCATGATATTAAAATGTGCATATCAAAATACCTTAGAAATAGATAAATTCAAAAAAAAAACAAAAAACGACATTTGGTACATATTACTCTTAATATAATCAGCGTTACATCGATTATGCTTGATTTCAAGCAATCAATATTTCCTAAGAAATGGCCCCAGGATGATATGAAACATACTTGTCAACATTTATGTTTTTTATGAATTGGGAACTGATGTTCTTATTTTGCAAGAATATGAGTTTCATGATGAAGTGTTGAATAGCATTTTTGTTTTGGTCTGTTTGATTTCTACATCATTTCTGCCTAACATACAGATTTTGGCACCCAAATAAACTAAGATGTTTCAAGATCCCGAGGCATGTTTTCCGTAATCGGCGATTTCCACAATTCAGACCTGGTTACTTCATACAAATAATTCTTGAGATATTTGACTACTGAAGTAGTCACTTGTTTCAGATTTTTTAATATAGACCTATGCCTTTATACTAACTTTAGAAAGTGGAGAAGAATGGTTTTATCGTATAAATATGTAAAAATGGCGATCGTCGATCTCCAAGAATTTATATGAACTTATGTCAAAGAATTTATATGAACTTAAGTTTCCGAGGCTGAAGGCAATTCAAAAAATGAAATGTCTTGATTTTTTTTTTTTTTTTTTTTTTTTTGGTATGAAGTACTTTGATAGACTGTTGTAGGTAAGAAGGGAAATATGAATTATCAAAGTCAAAACCAGCGCAATTTAAAAATACATATCATCATCATTAATACAACAGTCTTTTTAGCTTGAAAATGTTTTTCTACTTGCAAATTTCTGCTTAAATTTCGTTAAATATTTGTTATGGAGGCTAATTTTAAAGTTACAAGTTACTCTTTATTAAATACTCAAAAATTCAGGAGCTTCCGCGGCATTAACCCTTGGGTTTCCACCAGGGGCAAAGAGTGATATTAGCCCTTAATTATTTTGTATGATTTTTTTTGGGGGGGGGTAATTTTTCAATGAAAAAGTAAAAATTGTTTTATTTGCAAATAAGATGCTGAAGAGTTTAAACTTGCTGTTAATAAACGCACAATATGAATATCTAAAAAAAATATGTATATATATCAAGAAGAGTCAGATAGACATTTGAATTTTTTTAATGAAAAAAATAATTCATGAATACAAAAATTATAATTTGTTAATACTTTTTAAACCCATGGAACAAGTTACCTATAGAAAAGAAATATGAGGTAACTGTATTTCATAAAGAAATTTAAATGAAATTTCGAACTGTAAGAAAAATTGCACCTTTTTGTGCCAATCCCGATCAAAATTAAACCTATCCCAACCAGAATTATATAAAATGGAAATCTAAAACAATCTCACAAGAATATCCATGTTGAAACTATATTTCAAAAGAGATGGATTAGAGATCCATTAAATAAAATTTTGGTGTAGCATTCCTCCTTAAAGCCATCCTCACAATGTCAGGAGTAAAACTTAGATGAGCTCACTTTTGATCTCAGTCTCACTTTAACTAAATGAATAAATAATGGAAAAGTTAGACTGAGACCAAAAGTGAGCTCATCTAAGTTTTATGGCCCCTGAGCCTGACTTGTGATAAAGCTGATTTGCAAAAGTGCAAAGCGTCGTATTATTATAGATATTTCAACATATATGGTAGCCATTTTAATATTCTATGACAACTTTTTAAATACACATCGTATGCTAAATAATCGGGGGAGTGGGGTGAGGGGACTCGTCAGGAACGAACGGTAACTCTGCAAGGGAGATGGGGGCGTGCGCAAGACCCCCTCACCCCCACCGGTAGACAGACATCTCGGCCCAATGACACCTCGGCCCGTCACGCTTGACATCTCGACCCTCACAGGTCGGCCCAAGATTGTTGACACGTCGGCTATAAAAGACACCTCGGCCCAAGCAAAATTTTATGATGGAGAAAAATTAACAGATTTACCCAGGGTTTGAATTGATATTATTATTGGTGTAATTATTCTTTCTGACTATTAAACGATTTTTTAAAATAAAAAATGGGGGGGGGGTCTTTGATAGATAATCGTTTTATTTTTTTTTTAACTTAATTAGAACAGTCTTTCATTTACATCTATTTCTTGTGGAAAATGTAATTTTTTTTCTGCAATATCATGATAGCGACCGTTACTCTTGTATTAACCCCCCCCCCCCAAAGACATTTTATTATTTATATAGATCTATATGTCTAGATAAATTATCGTATAAAGATATATATTTATTTTAAACAAGTAATTTAATAAAATTGCATTATTGGTCTGTACTTAATTGTGTGTTTCTTTTTTTTTTTTTTTGAAAAGCACACGCACTTGCTCTGTTTGATACAAGTAGCCTGGGAAAAAAAACCCGGACTCGAACTAGTTATAACTTGCAGTGTTCGAAATTAAAAATTATTATCTATGGGTCCAAAGGACCCACAGAGAAAGGGACCACACGAGTCCTTCTAGGGCAGCGTAGGCCCAAAAATAATACCATAAAATATTTGGGAAAAATAAACTTTTACGTATTGATGATCTCGGTAATTAAGTTTATCGCTTCATATGAAATATGTCAATTTAATAAAGGGTAACTACAACTCGCAAGTATTAACAATATGAAACGGTAAAACATTAATCGTCAAACATTCTTACTTGGTCATATATAACATGTAAAGAGTTTAACATGTGTTTAGATTTTTCCTAGGAATTACAATTTCTGTTTTTAAAATCAGCGGGTAGAAAATTACACAGGTTTCTTAGATTACCACAATATGTTGTTAATATGTACTTAAGTATATACTTGGACAATTTTCCGTGGAAAGTTTGTAACCGCATGCATATAGCGTAAATTTATTCCACGCAGGGAAAAAAATCAAATCTTCAGTATTTATTTAAAATGCACATGAAAAGAAGAATTGATACAATCTTGATAAAAATAACAAGTTTTACCCATCTTACGTCCAACATCTTTTAAAGACGCTCATTGGTTAATTTGATTAATACAATGTATATCCAATTAAAATGCAGGAAAGATATAAAAGCTAATGTAAATGCATAAACCAATATACGTTTACTTCAATCGCAACTTCTAAAGCCTTTCCAACAAGCGGTAAAGAAAAACAACGGTGTATTTTTTCAAGCTCACCGGAAAGGTCCGAGAAGATGTGATTGACTTTAACTTGTTTCCCGGCAAATCATCATCGGCCCAAAATTATTTCAAGGACCCATTTAGTCATACTATTCGTGAGTCCTTCCGTTTGTACGTCGGCGCAGGACCGACTGGCCGACGCTAATTTCGAACACGGGTTATAAGCGACGACAAGAAATTATGAATGGAAGTGTTTTTCTTTAGAAATAAATGAGAACATATGTTCATTGGATCTAAAGTATTTAATTACTATCTCCCAATTAAGCCTGCTTGTAATTATCCCCCTGTTGTCACCAACATAACACGCACTTGACCTTCCAACAGTCCAAAGGATGCGCCGCGGCAATCTGTTTGTTTATCAATTAGCACTTTGATTAATAGCATTGTCTTCTCATTCCTTGAATATCGTCAAAGTGCTTGTGGAAGGTTTTTTTTTTTATTTATTATTTAAATCTTGATAGTTTATTCATGTACTTTCAATCAAAATTGAAATATTTAAGTCAACTCCCAAAATTGGAAATATATATCTGTATATCGGGATATAATTTCACAGTAAAATTTTGCTTGGGCCGACCTGTCTTAATTATTGGCCCGACCAGTCTGAGCCAAGATGTCATTGGGCTGAGGTGTCGTTCAATACGGGTTACTGTCATTTCGCCCCAAAACCAGAACGCCCCATGCATGAGCGCCCCAAACGTTTTTACCGGCGCCCAATTACCACTGATTACAAATATGAGCGCCCCAAATTTAAATCACGAGCGCCCCAAACTTATTTCACGAGCGCCCCAAATATTATCGTCCAATCTAACACAGGTACACAGGTGCTAATTATGTGATAATTTTATACATAAGTACTTCATCGGTTATATATATATTTTTTTAATATTTCATTTGAATCTATGTTGAAATTGACTTGTGTTTAGTTGCATACAACTGTACAAAATATTCTTTTGTTTGACTTTCCTTCTTCAAAGAACACTTGTGTAATTGACTTTCCTTCTTCAAAGAACACTTGTGTAATATTCTTTTAAATTATTAACTTTTTAATTATTTGTGTAATTAAAAACGATAGTTTCAAAGTCTGAGCACCGCGTTTATCCCACGTAAAGGAGCCTGCTCAATTATAATCTCAAATTATTTTTTACCACATTGTGATGAAAAAAAAAAATTGTCGACTGACTGTTCATTTCTTTTGGATCGTTTGAGAGATGGAGAAGTGTCTTCAATGCAAGAAAGTGGTAAGTCCATTTTTATAAATAATTCAACAGCGTTCAATATGTTCTTTCATCAGCAAAATTAAAGTAAAGAAATATGTAAAACTTTGTATCAAAGTTTTTATCAGACAGTTGTAGCCGTGTATGGTGATAACCTCGTAAGTTGTTAGAACTTGTGTTCAAACTATTAAAATACTATTTATACAAGTAAATATGTTCAAACTAGTGATGATATAGCTACAGATCTGCAGCTTATAAGTGACGATAGCAAGAGAGATGCGACGAAGACAAAAAAAAAAAAAAAAAAAAAGACAGTGAAGGGCATGTATACGTATTTGTTAACATTACTGATGGGCTTACTGATACGAATCAAATTGAGGGAAAAACCAATTTATCAATACATATATACAGCCATAAAGCTATAAGACTACATCTTTCGAAAATGAATATTTCTGAACGTATAAATATATGACAATCTTAGAAATTTTCTGGTCATAAATTATAGTTACTGCAGAAATATACATATACATCAGTGTTCAAGTCTATTCTATTCTATTCGTACAGTGTAGTAGATCTTTGAGACGAACCTACTTACTAGCAATTATTAAATTAAGATTTAAAAATTCAGTATAATAAAATTAACTCTGCTGTGTTTCATTCAAAATGTATTTCGGTCATGGTATATGTACATGTACTTAAAAAAACGGAAAGAATTTGAGTACGTTTTATAATTTCATAATGCTAGTTTACAAATCTTGGGGCGTTCGTTATACGTAAAATTTGGTGCACGCACGATATATATAATTTGGGGCGCTCGTGAATTGTTCATATCAATATTTTTTATTACATCGAAATGTAAAAAAAAAGCCAATAATTTATTTCTTTACTAGTTAATAAGCCTTGGGGTGCTCGAAATGCTTATTAGGGGCGCTCGTGAATTAATTTTGGGGCGCTCGTGATTTAAATTTGGGGCGCTCATATTTGTACTTGGGCGCCGGTAAAAATGTTTGGGGCGCTCATGCATGGGGCGTTCTGGTTTTGGGGCGCAGTGACTAGCACCCTTCAATACGACGTTCCATGGAACGAGCTAGTTTTTACACATCTTATGATCGATGACGTCACAAATATGGTATTATTGTCCGTGAAGAAGTATCACAAGTGGGTGTGTGTATCCCGAAATCAAGGAAGGTAGATTCCAAAGCATGCAAAACTTTTTTTGTACATTTTATCCATTATTATCATGTTCTATTAAATTAACCAAGTTCTACACGTGAAAATAAATAGTCAAAAGAAACCGATCAATATTCTGAGAGTCAAGAAGGGAGAGCAAGGATTTCCGGAGTTACTCTGTCAGATATAATTTAAGGTAGTATAAGATTTTAAATTTGCAATAATCAGTAATGATTATTTTATACATGTGGTAATTTATAATCATTTGTTATTGAAAAAAAGACGAACGCAGATCACAAATATGTAACAAACCACACATGTTTAGTTGTTTACAAACAGATAAGAACATTTCATTTTGACATCACTGACTGACTGAAAAAGAGTTCTTATTTAGGATTAAACATTTCATATTCTATTCATTTTCGGGTAGACTTTACTTTACCGGTCCCCAGATCCGCAAGATCCGCGCGCTCATTGCACTATGACGTAAGATTTACGTCACTCAACTGATTAGGGTTGGTTTTGCACATTTTTCGACTGGTTAGGATTAGTCTTGCACCCACCTGAAAGATTAGGGTTAGTCCTTGCATAAGTTTTCGACTGATTAGGGTTAGTCTCGCATCCACCCGAGAGATCAGGGTTAGTCTTTCCACATGGGTTAGTCTAGCATGGTCTAGCATCTGCCTGGGAGATATGGGTTAGTCCTCGCATACCATCCGAGAGATTAGGGTTAGTGTCTTGTTCTTTTAGATTAATTAAGAAATTCAGTTGCGTCTGTATTTTTTGCAAGATCTTAATTCAGCTTCAACGACATCTCGTTGGTTTTTTTACATGAAAAAAATGGCTAAGTACAAAAGAAACGGCACTAAGCATGCGCCGCACGCGCTTCGTTCACAGTTATGTTTGTCTCCTAATTCACTGAATAAACAATATTTATTACTTTTTTCAGAGAACGAGGTTAAACGAAGTTTTAAACTAAACTTTTAACTGTAGAATTCGAATTTGGGGTCCAAAGGGCTTAAAACCTCATATTTTTCATTTTTTTCGATCGCTCACGCGATCTCATATATATTGAAGTCGCCTACGGCGACACTATATTTTAGCGCGTTTTTCTGGGGACCGGTAAAGTAAAGTCGTTCCTCATTTTCAACTCCTAATGTGTAACCATTATCATGATCACTATAAAACCATATATCTCCAATATAAGCAAAGTTTGTCATTGTAGACTCTGAAATATGGCCACTTACGGGAAAGGTGAATTTGGAGGATTCTCCTCATATCAGACAAGTGATTCACCGACAGCAACAGGTCAGTCATAGAGTATTTAAAATAAAATATATATATTATTATAACAGTAACTTGATCCGAAGATCCGTATCACGTCAAGTTGACAGGCCTGGATCATCAGATCAAACGAGACGTGAAGTGACAAGTTTGATCTGATGATCCGCGCCTGTAAACGAGATGTGATAGGGCTCTTCGAATCAAGTTACTTTTATAATGCATGATAAATTTATTATATACCCCTTTACAACTAGCAAAATATAATAAAAGGAAATTTTTGTGATCAATTACCTAACTTTTATCCATGAAACAAACCATTTGTCAGGAACTTTTTGATGCGCGAGAATAAAAATGTCATTTATCTGTGTACTATGTCATCAATTTTAGAGAGGAATGATATTGATTCAGAAAACAACCATGTGGTGATCCGAAACATCAGATCACACCGTTACGTGATTGCATAAATTCAACAGTAAAACTGAGTGACAAACAGTTGGGTATATAATAAAACTGTCTTAGGACAAGCCCTCATTATAGTTGGAATTTGTACCATATAGTTGAAATGTAGCAATCGGAACACTGTTTATTTTCATGTATGAGTAGAGAGTTTTTAAATCACAGCTGTGCATTGTAATAAAAACGTATTGAGCATTATTATCGAATAATTCCAATCTTAATTTTATTTATTGATTTCCTGTGTTTTGATTGGATGAGAACAAATTCAAGAAAAAGTTTATACAGAACTACTTTCTTGACCTGGCTTTTATTGTAAAAAAAAAAAAGAAGAAACAAATCGTTACTTCTATTCTGTGTTTTAGCTAAACAATTACAGAAACTTGAAATTAAATAAAAACAAAACTGACGACATGCAGGACTGACAGATGGGAATATTATGTTTATGTCACTGTCAGATCACGAGTGTGAATTTTAAATTTCTGAAGTCATATTCTCAACATTCCTAATAGGCCTACAAAACAAATCAGCTCAGTTCTCGGTAGCGCTGTGACAGGAAAGAGAAACGTACCTTAGACTCTTGCCTTATTGGCATCAAATTCAATTTTCTACACCTATATTCTTTTCCGTCTTTGAACAAACCAGAGCAAATTAAGGTTGTTGTCAGTCTGCTAGTTTCGTTTAGAGCATCTTCGTTATATTGTCAACATGGTCAAGGACGAATTCTTTTGAAGTCTACTTGTATTTACGATATTTGTTGACTTAAACAATATTCGAAGAGTTTTTATAAGTTTATTTTATTAAATGTTTTGACAACTAAAGTTGAACTTTATCGACGTTCATCTCGATTGCAATTCATTTCCACATCACGACATAAAGTATTCCTACGCTGTCAGAAATAACAGATTGTATGGAGACTTCAAAGAGAAATAATTTTAAAACTTCGTAATTGGAATTATAAGAATTAAACATTCTTTTTTTTTTTTTAGAATTTATCGATGTGTAAATTCATGCCTTTGTACTCACAAACTTTACATAAAAGTGCTACTTTTATTCAGTTTGTGAGTACAAAGGTATATGAGTTTACACATCGATAAATTCTGAAAAAAGAACATTTAATCATGTACTAAATGATTTTGTTATACCTTTAAAAATTGTTTCCTACATAAATGTAATACTCCAACATTTCTAATGTTTTACTGAGTGGTCCAAAAAAAAAAAAAACCAAACCAATTTTGGACGCCTCAGTGAGATTTGGGACCAGTAGATGAGATGTTGGAACACTACAACATTTTTTAGTCTACACTTTATTCCCCAGTTTAGGAATGATCAGGTATATCTTATTTGCGATCATCAGTGTTTGACAGTTTCAGGATTGACCATGCAAGTTAAATCTGCAGTACATGTAAACAAAATTTACACTAAAATTTTGTAACATACATCACATACATTGAAGCCAGGGCAGGATATGTTATAATAAAAGTAAATTTTAAAGGTATAACAAAAATTCATTGACTGTGTTTTTGGGCAACACATTGTGGAACCCTCAAATAAAACTGTTTGCCTCTTGCCTAATGGCTTCAGACAAACAGTTTGGTTCTTGGGTCTTACAAAATGCATGTTGTCCTTGAACCCAGTCAATAAATGCATTACAATGCTGGAATTTTTTTAGCAAAAGAGGGTTAAAATTAGTGAATGAAAAAGTTTGCATTGATGAGAATTTCATTATCAGTATAGCAATAGATAAAAACATTTGTCAACAAAAGATGTACAGTGCAAGCACCATATCCTAATCTAAAAACATTTAAACAGACACTCTATGAGTAAACAAAGTATTTCATGCTAAAAGCATACAGAATTAAACATTTTATAGTTATTGCTAAAACGCAATTCTAGAAATTAAGAAGTTTTTTTTAACCTAAATATCAGTATATTTACAATTTTCATATGATTTTTCAAGATTGAGTGCAAATAGAATTACTTATATTACTTCAGAGGAATTATTCTTTAAACATGTAAGATTTGTCATAGTTTTACTTAATTTAATTTACACAGTGTTTTGTTTGACAAGTAATATATTAATGGATTCAGTTTGATAATTTGATGATAAATCTGTATAGAATCCATCAATGACAGCCCTTAATTTTGGAACATTCATGTATGATCACTTTCAAATTAATTAATAAATGTAATAGAATTTTAATGAAGCTGTATTCAACATTGTAAATAAAATGCCTTTCAACTTAAATTTTCACAAACAAAAAATATTGTTTGTTATTCTCATTCTACCAGACACTTTTGAAGTTTAAAGGTTTTAGGTACACAAGTAATTCAGAAATTCACAGGTGTAATGTGTTAAACACAGTATACTTTTACGGAAGAGGTTCTAGGAATTAATTTTATTTGTAAATTGTTTGTAGGAGGGGCAGGGGGAAGTGAATTGTCCAGACTAACCAACACCATCAGTAGTAACATACAAAGAATCACACAGAATGGTAGGTAAATATGTGTAACTGTCGGTAGTAACATACAGAAAATCACACAGAATGGTAGGTAAATACGTGTAACTGTCAGTAGTAACATACAGAGAATCACACAGAATGGTAGGTAAATACGTGTAACTGTCAGTAGTAACTTACAGAGAATCACACAGAATGGTAGGTAAATACGTGTAACTGTCAGTAGTAACTTACAGAGAATCACACAGAATGGTAGATAAAATATGTGTAACTGTCAGTAGTAACTTACAGAGAATCACACAGAATGGTAGATAAAATATGTGTAACTGTCAATAGTAACATACAGAGAATCACACAGTATGGTAGGTAAATATGTGTAACTGTCAGTAGTAACATACAGAGAATCACGCAGAATGGTAGGTAAATATGTGTAACTGTCAGTAGTAACATACAGAGAATCACACAGAATGGTTCATTTAAATAACTGGACTTGAGTGAATAAACTAGTTGCTATTGGATCATTGTACTTTTCAGACAGTCGGGGTATCTGTCCTGTTATTGATACTTATTTTACTTCATTGAGTGAATTTTAAGTCAGAGAAATCTTTATTTTTATTCAGTGGCACAGATACAGAATAATGTATCCAAAATTGGGACACCTCAGGACTCAGAAGAAATCCGTGACAGAGTGTAAGTCAGGAAGTCCTCTCTCAATTTATAAAAAGAGACATTTTTAAAAACAATACATTAAATGTTATACTTAAAATTCTATTCATTAATCTATGAGATTCCTTTTAATAACAGTTGATGAATAAACTACCAGATATTCTTAGCATAACCTCAACCTATCTCTGTTCAGGCTTTAAATGAATTGCTTCGTAAAGACTGAATGAATTTTTTGTGTTAACATGGAAATATAATGATGTCTGTTTGTAAAACTTCTGTAGACAAGAACATTAATTATTGTAGATGTTTGGTTTGTATTACAGACACCAGATTACTCACAATACAAATCAAGTGGCTAAAGATACAAACAAAGATTTAAAGCAGTTAGCTCATCTGACAGTTCCTCCATCAGAACAGGTGAGGGATAAACTTAGAGGTCACAACACAGAAAAACAAACATACACATTTACATTGTACACAGTTCCCCCATCAGAACAGGTGAGAGAGGCAAGGGATAAACTTAGAGGTCACAACACAGACAAACAAACATACACATTTATATTGTACACAGTTCCCCCATCAGAACAGGTGAGGGATAAACTTAGAGGTCACAACACAGACAAACAAACATACACATTTATATTGTACACAGTTCCCCCATCAGAACAGGTGAGAGAGACAAGAGATAAACTTAGAGGTCACAACACAGACAAACAAACATACACATTTATATTGTACACAGTTCCCCCATCAGAACAGGTGAGGGATAAACTTAGAGGTCACAACACAGACAAACAAACATACACATTTACTTTGTACACAGTTCCCCCATCAGAACAGGTGAGGGATAAACTTAGAGGTCACAACACAGACAAACAAACATACACATTTACTTTGTACACAGTTCCCCCATCAGAACAGGTGAGAGAGACAAGAGATAAACTTAGAGAGGTCACAACACAGACAAACAAACATACACATTTATATTGTACACAGTTCCCCCATCAGAACAGGTGAGAGAGACAAGAGATAAACTTAGAGGTCACAACACAGACAAACAAACATACACATTTACATTGCTCAGAACTTTGAGGTCACAACACAAGCAAATATACATACAAATTTACATTGCTCAGAACTTAGAGGTCACAACAAAGACAAACATACATACAAACTTACATTGCTCAGAACTTAGAGGTCACAACACAGACAAACAAAGATTTGAAGCAGTTAGCCCACCTGATAGTTCCCCCATCAGAACAGGTGAGAGAGACAAAGGGATGAACTAAGAGGTCACAACACAGACAAACAAATATGAAAATAAACTTTGCTCAGTTTTCCTGCCTCAGAATATCTGAGGCTTGTATGAGAAAGACAGAGACTAAGCAAGAACTTAGAACTAAGAATTTTTTACATTTACAATGTACTAAACTTTTTATATGCTTGTATCAATGCTGTTTTGTTTATTTATAGAGCAAATGGAGGATGCAACGAGATCGTTTGACAGATGAGTTCAGTACAGCACTAAGAAACTTTCAAACCATTCAGAGGACTGCAGCTGAGAAAGAGAGAGCAAGCGTGGCTCGAGCAAGGGTTCACTCAGGAAACTTCTCAAAGGTAATTAGATACTGATGCTAGCTCACCTGGCTCATGGGCCATAAAACTGAGACAAGCTCACATTTAATCTCAGTCTCACTTTTACAAAAACAAATAATGGTGGAAAAATGAGACTGAGATAAAAAATAAACTCATCTAAGTTTTATAGCACCAGAGCCTAAAAAGGCTTATGTGAGCTTTTCCATTGAGGTCCATTTCTTGCTCATCTGTTTGTCTGTTAACTTATCTCATTTTGGGCTTCTTCTCCTGAAGCATTGGGATGATTCAAACAAATTTAACACAAAGGATCCTTGGGTGAAGGGGATTTAAGTTAATTCAATGAAAGGCCATGCCCTCTTTAAAGGGTAAGTAATCAAGAAAATGCAAAAATATGGAGTGTCTTTATAATTCTTCTCAAGAACCACTGGGTCAGAAAAGATTAAACTTTTGTAAAAGCTTCCTAACATGGTGTAAGTTTAAGTTTGTTCAAATCATGGCCCCGGGGCTAGGATGGGGCCTTAATAGGATTTCAAAATTTTACATGAGTCTCAGAATATATAGGGAAAAAAATCTTTTAATATCTAGTTATAGTTGGTGTTGGGTATCGCGACTGAAAAATCTTATCGTGATATATTGCAATATTAAATTTTGTATTGCAATACATGTATATTACGATATAAAATTGATATTCATTTCTGCTTCATTTTTATCTAATGAGAAAACACAAATGCAAATATAATACGTTTTCAAGTTGAAATTGACATTGCCTGGCTGCGTTGTGTCGGCATATGTGGCTAACTGAACTTGTGCCACAAGAATTTTTAGTTATCTTGTTGCAGTAGTGAGAAACAGCTTTAAAGTAAGTGATTTCATGTAGCAGGTGTTCTCTTCATTTCAAAAGAATTCCACATTGTTTGCCGCCATATTTTACTTGAAAAGGGGCATATAACTCTTTCTCTAGCATTTTATAGTGTATTTATAAACTCTTCTTTTATGTTTAAGAATTATGAAAGTGGTATCTTTTTATAGTCTCCCTTTGAAGATGAAAGTCACAGCAGAGATGAAATGTCAATGACCCCAGGGTAGGTGTTTTATTTAACTATAGTTCCTCAGTCTGGAAGTATTCTTAACAGCGTTTATTTCCTTATATAACTGGTACTGGTAAACAGTACCATTCCCAATGCCAAAAACATTAATTTTTCCCAATTTTAAGGGAAAAAATTCCAATTCAACTGCCAAGGAACAGACTTCGTCTTTTCATATGAAATGTTGTATGAGTTAACTAAATGTTTAACTTCCTCTGAAATGGAAAGAGAGTTCAGTGGTAATATGACGGGACACGTGTTGTTGACATCGTAGTCATGAGAGTGTCTTACATTTTTGACAACTTGAAAGCATGACAACGAGAGAACAAGGGACATTAATATGTAAAACAATGAATACTTGTTGATTATTCTTTAAAGCATGAATTAATAGGTAATAAGGTATTGAATAAACCCAAAATAAATTTCATTTGTTGACATGGCAGAAAATTCCCATTTGTATTTTTCCCAATTGAATCAGTACCGGACCCATTCCCAATGGGTAGAAAAAAATCGCTTGTCTTAAAATAGAATCAAGTCATGACAAGCAGGTTTAAAATTGAAAAAATTAAGTTCAGTGTGTTTAATGGAAACATTGAGATTTCGTAGATGGGTAGCAGAATAGTCCATTTCAATGTTCAAACAATCCTCCAGTTCGTTTATTTTTTACATGTAGATAAAATTGTTTGATTTTTATGGATTTGTGTGTCTTTTCGCTAATGCCTATATTTTGTCTTTAAATAGAGCAATGATTATGTCCAGATATATTTGTACACCTTTTACTTACAGTATTTGATGATAAGATGTTTGATTTTACAGGTTCTCCCAGATATATCTGTACACCTTTTACTTACAGTATTTGATGATAACGTGTTTGATTTTACAGGTTCTCCCAGATATATCTGTACACCTTTTACTTACAGTATTTGATGATAACGTGTTTGATTTTACAGGTTCTCCCAGATATATCTGTACACCTTTTACTTACAGTATTTGATGATAACGTGTTTGATTTTACAGGTTCTCCCAGATATATCTGTACACCTTTTACTTACAGTATTTGATGATTGTTTGATTTTACAGTATTTGATGATTGTTTGATTTTACAGTATTTGATGATTGTTTGATTTTACAGTATTTGATGATTGTTTGATTTTACAGTATTTGATGATTGATTTTACAGATTTGATGATTGTTTGATTTTACAGTATTTGATGATTGTTTGATTTTACAGTATTTGATGATTGTTTGATTTTACAGGTTCTCCCAGACCCGTCAGATTCTACAGATGGAGGAGGATGTTGATCTTGAAATGCTGCGAGAGAGGGAGGACGCCATTAAACAGCTGGAGGTAAGACCTGCAATATCAGCAGTGTACTAACGTATAGACTGTTACAGGTGTAGGATAGATATCCAGGATTTATTTTGATCTGCAGTATGTGACAAATAGAATCAAGAGAGGAAATAAAATGAAAATATAACCAAGTGTTGTATCAAAGCTTTAGACATTTTATTGACTTTCTTACAACTGAAATGATAATGAAGACCTGCCTAGTACTCAAAAATTGTCATAAAGGGTTACTTTTGTATTTAAGAGTAAAAGTGTTTTATACAAATGAAAGAAATTTGATCACAGTTAATTATCTCCAGTATGTATAAAATGTAGTTAATCTTGATGGAAAGGGTAGCACAGATAATTAATTGTTTGTCCTTCACTGCATTGTACTAATTTTTATTATATACATCATTACCCAACTGTTTGTCACTCAGTTTTACTGTTGAATTTACGCAATCACGAGACGATGTGATCCGACGTTCCAGATCACCACACTGTGGTTTTCTGAATCCATATCACCCCTCTCTGAAACTGATGACGTAGTACACAGATAAATGACGTTTTTATTCTCGCGCATCGAAAAGTTCCTTGACAAAATGGTTTGTTTAATGGATAAAAGTTATGTAATTGATCCAAAAAGTTTTTTCTTTTATCATATTTTGCTAGTTGTTAAGGGGTATATAATAAATTTATCATTATAACAGTAACTTGATCCGAAGAGCCGTATCACGTCTCGTTGACAGGCACGGATCATCAGATCAAACTCGACGCTTCACGTCTCGTTTGATCTGATGATCCGCGCCTGTCAACTTGACGTGATACGGCTCTTCGGATCAAGTTACTGTTATAATAATATATATATATATGTTATACCTTGTGTATTGTAGAGTGATATCACAGATGTGAATCAGATCTTTAAAGATTTGGGAATGCTGGTTCATGAACAAGGAGAGATGCTAGGTAAGGCATGACATAGAAAGCCAAATCAAATTAAACAAAGTTTAATATTTACAGTCAAACCTGTATTAAGCAGTCACCTGCGGGAACCATTAAAAGTGACCTTTATAGAGAGGTGACCTTTGAAAAGAGGTTCTTCTTTTTTCAAGAGAAATTCTTTTCCAATTTATGTAAGTTCTGTGTTTTAAAATACATGTACTACATCATGGAATATTAAAGAAAGATGTGTTTTGGAAATCAAAGGTCTCAGTTAGATTTTTATTTTTAGAAATTTAAATTGTCTCAAGATTAAGTTCAAGCTAAATTTGATGACTCCAACAAACTAATAGGGCATTGCATTATCCTCCCTCCAAACAACAACAAAACTTTCTTTCATTATAAGATTACATTATCTTGTTGTGCCATGAATAAAATATAATGTTTTTTTTTTTATCTAAACTGCCTCTAAAAAACAAGTTTAGTTAGTCCTGATAATTATATGTTTAATATAATACATAAAAAGTAGCGTAAAAAACAGACAAGTCATAATATTCTCAGTTTATCAAAGCAGTGCATAATACAAATTGATATCAAATTCACAGGTGTTGTAAGCAATTAAGAGTGACTAATCCTAACGGTCGTCTTACCTAGTTGAAAATCACGATAATCAGGACACATTGTGTATACAAAACAGTTAGGGTTTCTACAAATAATACGTTTCTTATGTGTTAAAAATGGCCTGCCATGCGTTTACACAATTACGCCTATCAGAGTTGGGCATGCCAAATATGAACTAATAATTAGGAAACACCTAATTATTGTATCCATTAATACATAGATAAATAAGGATGCCTTGTTTTTTAATATTACTCCGATTTTTAAATTCTAGATTCCAATTCAATAAGATTAATATTCTCGTAAGTCCGTTTTCCTGATAACCTTGTCAGTCACCAGCACCCTTGTTTTTTAATATTACTCCGATTTTTAAATTCTGGATTCCAATTCAATAAGATTAATATTCTCGTAAGTCCGTTTTCCTGATAACCTTGTCAGTCACTAGCACCCTTGTTTAGTTTTGTTAAAAAAATAAATAAATTATCCAATATTTTGAATGGTTTAAATAAAGCCAATTATTTTTTCCATGATCTTACTACACAAGACCAATTATTTACATTAGGGACAAAAATTGGGAGTCACCTGACTTTAGATCTGGTCACGTGATCGGACAAAATGGCCGCTATATACGAGGTAAAACGGCGATTTTACATGAAATTTGATGACTGCTGACCGCGTTACGCAGGTGACTGCTTAATAGAGTTACATTATATAGGAAAATTCATTGGGAGGAAAAAAAATGACCACATAGGACAAGTGACCATTGGATAAAGGTGACCGCTATGACAAGTTTGGCTGTACTATGAATCCATACAAAACTAGTATTGAGGCTTCTTATTTTAAGAATGCAAAAGGGGTGAAAATAAAATTATAGAGCAAAAAAAAAAGTACTTGTTAGTTGGTATTCTTCAAAAAAAAAAAAAAAAAAAAAAAGAAAAAAAGATCAGTTTCAGATTTTTTATTACAAGTGTTTTATTTGATGTATCTGAAATCCTAATGCAATACAGGAAAAACATGCTTATAGCATGGCCAATTATGATTTGTTACATATGAATTTGTTACATTTAGATAAATTCATGATATGCCTTAAAACAACAGGGAATGAATATAACTTTGCTATAAGAATGGTTTTAATTAATATAAGTCTGTTCACTGTAACTGTATTTTACTTTATGCCTTCGAATGGATTTGTTCTTTGATTGAATGCTGTTAGATTTATAATTGATTAAATGCTGTTAGATTTATGATTGAATAAATGCTGTTAGATTTATGATAGAAAAGAAGTTTAAATGCCATGGCTTTGACATAAATAAAAATCCGAAAGCCCTGCACCTGAGACATAGGTGCCACTGGATGCTTTTTGAGAGATACGTGTACATTTTTCAGGAAAAATTGATACCCATCTTTATTTTTGAATGCCTAAGATCAGTATTTTTTGTAAGCATGCCCAGGTGAATTTGTTTTGAAGAATGTCCATTTTAAATAACTATGAGCTCTTAAAGCATCTCTGAGGACTTGACAAATGCATCTTATTAACAATTCAGTCAGTAATTATTCTGCCAGAGACCATGCTTCATATTTATATAACATTCATCAAAATGAGGTTATCTTGAGTTTAGTCTTGTTTTAATTCTCCCACTGCTTTGATTAGTGTTACTAAAACAATACAGAGAGGCTGATTCTGCTTGTCAGTACCTGCAGCTCAATGAGTTTTGTTTAGGATAGCTCTACTGAGTTTCTGTCTTTCAGTACTTTTAGTACGTTGATTAGTATTGTTACAGATAGTATAGAAGCTAACGTGGAGACCACTGCTACTCATGTGGAGGAAGGGAGAAAACAATTGTCACAGGCCCAGAACTATCAGGTATTAACAACTGAAAGGGGAGCAGGACATGGGAGGGTCTAGGTCAGGTATAGGGTCCCTACTCAACAGGCAAAGGGGGGATATATAGGTACACAGGTAAAGATAGGTGTTGGTACACAAAAAGTCTTGTTTCTAAGACCAGAGATTTTGAAAACACTAGTGTTTCTTTTTTTTCTTCTTTTTTGGTAGGGAAGGGTGGGTCGGTGGGTGGGGGATATCATATGGTCTTGGAATTGAGAGTTTTTGTGGACATACTTTTATTAGAGGACTGAGAGTGCAGAAAGGTTATTATAATGACCTGTTTCAGATTCCATAGAGACGAATGTGGAGAACTCTCACAGTCATGTAGAGAGCGGTCAGAAACAGTTGTTACTGGCCAGCTCTTATCAGGTATCACCATGGTTACATCTGCACGCTCTCATTGATTTAGAAGTCGATTTTTTTTATTTGTAGAATCTTTTTGTTAACTTTGTTTATACTTGTATGTTTTTCTCAGTTATATTCTGTTTCATTTAAAAATATAAGTAACTACAATATTTTTTTGTAAGCAGTCGGTAGAACCTCAGTGTCTTGATTTTGGTTTCAAACAGACACAATTCTCATAACTTCACTTGTAAGGGTTTTGTGGATTCATTTCATATGTTAAACTCTCTTTTTAGATGAATTTCAATTGAATTTTTGGCAAAATTATGACATCAGTTTATTTTATATTACTTTATTTCTACATTACCCAGACTTCCTTAGGCATGTTAAGGGGAAATGAATGGAATGCTAGATATTTGAATTTCCTACTCGTACTTGAATTTCACAGTTATCTTTATTTAAAGCATTATATAATATTTATTTCTATGATATATCTACATACTTTAGTTAAAGATCACTTCAAGCCTTTTAAATTTAAATGAGTTGAAAACTTCAGTTTTTTTACAATCTTCATTTAAATTATTGTGTTTTGAATATTATTTATGTCCTTATTTCAGTCAAAAGCACGCAGAAAAAAATGTATATGTGTTGTCATCCTTGTCGTAGTATTAGCTGTCATCGTAATCATCATCGCTGCAACACTGGGCGCTAAAAATAACTAGGTATGTCATCATTTTCATCATTATTGTTTTCATTCTCAGTTTAATACTTCACAGTAAGTATATTGTATCCTCATCACAACACCAGGTAATGAGAAGTAGGTATGTCATCATTTTCATCATTATTGTTTTCATTCTCAGTTTAATACTTCACAGTATGTATATTGTATCCTCATCACAACACCAGGTAATGAGAAGTAGGTATGTCATCATTTTCATCATTATTGTTTTCATTCTCAGTTTAATACTTTACAGTAAGTATATTGTATCCTCATCACAACACCAGGTAATGAGAAGTAGGTATGTCATCATTTTCATCATCGCCTGCATCATAATTACAAAACAAAGTAATCACGATGTATCATTATCTTCTTCATTTTCTTCCTGCTGCAGTGCATGGCAGCAAAGTGTGGTGTATGATTTTTTTTCACATTTTGTAATTTAAGCAAGAACAAAAGCATTAACAGTTGTCTTATTTCTCTGAAAAAACAACAAGTACAATTTATTACAGTTTTATATTTTCTTCTTCAATGCAAGTATGGAAGAAAACATTTATCTTCCTCCCCACCTGAATTCTTTCAGTACAAAACAATAAAAACAACAAGGTCATTCATCTTTATCTTAACTTTCATCCTCTCTGTGAAGGTAGGAAATTTTCACCATTGTCATTGCAACAGTGGGCTGTAAGAACTTGTCATTAAGGGATTTTCATTAGCCTTTCCCTGATTTTCATCTTTCAAGATCATCCAACAATTTTATTTGACAGCTTTTTTCTAGAGAATGGAATGCATGCAAATATTTATCTTATAAAAAATGTGAAAAAAATATGATTTAAAGATTCTAAGGATTATGCTAAAGAAAAGTGAATTTGACTTTTTCTACAGGCAATTTGTAAATTGGACATTAAAATTCTCCATTAAAGCTATTTCTAAATATGTGTATTACAAAAAGGTTTTCTCCATTTGATTTTCAAAAGAAGGCTGTTCATTTTATAAAAGCAAGGTTTTTTCACAGGCTTAAAAATTTAACAGAACTGAAAGATCTTTCAGTTAAATCACATTATATTATGTAATATCTTAGTACAATACTCTAAAAAATATTAAAAAAAAATTTTTTGTTTGTAGAAGAAATCTCGCAGGAAAACTCTGTATATCCTGGTTGTCGTGGCGATTATCATCATCGCTGTGTCGCTGATCATCTACGCCATTGCCAGCTAGTCTGTTACCATGGTATCAGTGAAATGGCATTCAGTAATGGCTAACTTGTACCAAGCTTGTCACATAGTTATGCATTTCAATATGTCTACATTGATGGATATATTTACAACTTTTGTTTTTTTATTATTAAACATACTTTTGTTCTCTGCTTAATAGGTCAAATTATTAGATATAGCAAGGAAAGATTTTTAAAATAAATGAATTCGATATTCCTTGTGTTTTGATAAGAGAAGGTGGTAGATCATATGTCTACATGTATAAACATTCCTGTAAATGAATGTTAGAGGAGAAACCTGTATAATGTAAAATGACTGAAAAGAGTGGGGTGTTGTGTTAGGTTTAACATGTAGTTGGCAGTATTTTCGCCCCGAGAGAGAGAGAGAGAGAGAGAGAGAGAGAGAGAGAGAGATTCTCTTCATTTAATCATATCAGTGAAAACTAAGATTTATCATTCATGATATCTTGTTTATTTATGAACTATTATCCAATTAATCCTGATGTAAACAGAAATATCTTATACATGCCCAGTATGTGACAGAAGTCATTATAACTGATAGGCTCTGGTATTTCTTTTGTCTATGTACTTCTGCTGTTTAAGTTAATTATTACCAATTAAGTAATAGCATCTTTCTGTGAAAGGTAACAACTTAGCACAGTGATTTCAGTTAGAAATTATATGATGAGTGATTGTTTTATGAATTAGTAGGATATATTTATTTTTGTTGAGTTTTGAACCAGGTGAGTGTTACAGCCTCTGAGCCCCTGCCTGTTATATTTCTGTTATCATTGTGTATGTTGTCTTATAGATCACAAATAAAGTAAAGTAAAACACAGGATTCACCGTATTCTGAGTTTCACTCATATCGAAGTTTCGGAAAGCTAAAACTATATATAGCCTAGGCTAAGCCCTCTACATCAGTATGCAATAGGTTCATATGCTCTATTCTGCAGAGGGATCACCAAAATGCCTATAACATCAGATATGTAAAAATCATATTCCATTTGTGAATTTAGTATTTAGAGTAAAGTTATCTTTATTGAAATTTTATGAAATTATGATAATATTTTTTTGAGAAAAATTTTCTCGGAAAAAATTATTCTGTTATTAAAAAATAATATGGTATTCGTGGGGTTTGAACCCTAGCAATAAAAATACTGAGTAACATTTTCCTTTAAGACTAACGAGCTAACAACTATGCTACACAGCTCCTAATGAATAGTGGGATTAAATCATGTTTGTGATACGACCCTTGACTAAATGGACTTAAATAAATGTATCTTTATCGACCCAGTCCCACCCACCGTGAGCCCTCCTATTGAATAAGATAAACGGAGTATACCGTAATCAAAAATAGTACCAAAAAAAAAAAAGAAACTGATCATCTTTAAAATTCTTGGAAATAATGTTAAGCTTGTCTTAACGAATCAATATCCGTCCGAACGAATAACTACCAAAAAATAGAGAAGTAGTTTTTCGTAAGAAATATTGAAACTAGCAAAACACTGAATCCAACACGTAGATAATTAATTTCTATTAGCATAACTAATTTGTCAAAATATTTTTTTTTCAAAGGAATATATATTTCTTCCAAATGAACGTCTTATACGTATATGAAGAAATATGTTAGTCGTCCAAACGAAGAACTAATTTGTTAAAACTTAGAACCAATTCATTCAAATGAGGGACTTTTTTTTTTAAATAAGTGAATTTCTTTAATGATAATGGTAATAACAATGATAAATAAAAACAAACGCAGAAGAACAAGAAGTAAACAAACCTCGTTCGAAAATCGAATTCTCTACCTGAAGACAAAGAAAGGAAACGAACGCCAAAACCAAACCATCCTTGACGTGTTTTTAGTTCTGTACATTGGACGGCTACAATATTAAGACATATCCAATTCCCAAAGCAATTTTAATTTGAAATTAGTGTGATTATTGATAACGACAATAAACAATATTATCTAAATACAAATTAGACAACATTTCAATGTTACAATTAAATGAAACAAATTCTATTCACTCACCAACACAAGTGCCTAAATCAGATAGATCTACCTTTATTATTCTCTTTGGTCTGTCTTTCTCGAAGAGAAATTTAAAGTAAATCTAGCCTTTATAGCTAATTACGTTTAGGACAAAAGTGCATCCTGTTAAAATACATGAAGGATTAGTATGGTATGTACATGTATTTGTTATTTGTGAGTAATCCATTAGATTTAGGACCTTTCTATCAAATTACGCAATTGTTAAACTTATCCAGGTTTTCTCCTATAATATTATACTTTCTTGTAAATTAGTTGAATCTGATTCGCCGAGAAACATTTGTTAAAAAACAATATTATTCTTTCATGTAAATTAGTTGAATCTGTCGAGAAACATTCGTTAAAAACACTACTACCCGCTGAATAATGAAGCCACGCCCTGGAGCGTAGCAACAGTCAACATTGCTTGGCGACGGGTGATTTTCCAAAAAAAAAAAAAAAAAAAAATTGACTGTGCAGAATCTATGTTCGCAAGGTTCACTTTAATATGTATTTGTATAAATATTCAGTATAATATAATAAATATTGCATAGTTAAGTATAATGAAAAAGTGAAAATAACATAACAGTGATCGAGCTCATAAAAATCTATAATCAATACAAATTTGTGAGCAGGGCATTAAACACGGACCCCTGGAAATTCCAATGGTGGGATCAGGTACCTATGAGGAGTAAGCATTCCCTGTTGACAGGTCACACCCGCTGTGAGGCCTTTGTATAGATCAGGTAGACGGAACATTCCTGACTATAGCTCGGCTGCGCCTTGGTTGACAATGATTTTATTGGGGTAAAAAATTTCAATGTTACACTCGAAAATGTCCATTATTTATATAACAATCCCTCCTCGTCGCTGGAACACTTATGGCAGATGTACATTTGGTATTTCATTAGACTTGCTTATATATTCAGCAGTTAAAAACTGTAGATCTTAAATCAACCAAAAACAGATTTTGAAACATTTTCAGAAAACATAATTCATCAGCATCTTAAGTTAGGTCTTTGTAGTTTTTCGAGCACTTTCAGGAACCTTGCTAACGATTCAACATCTAAGTATATTTCTATCGTTAATTATATTGATTCTGATAGTCCAAAAGTGAAACTTCTGCGAGTGAACTTTTGGACATCGAAATCATTACAAAAGAAATTTAATCATATGCATATGTACGCAAATTGAAACAAATAAAAGCGTAGGAAACAGCTAGTCAAAGAATATTTTTCAGCGACATAATTTCCCTATTCAAACGTTTAAATTCACAACAAAAGGGAAATAAAGATCACGATCCTAGGGGTTTCAGTATCACAAGCAGTTTCGGAAAATTTCCCATGTCCATTTTGCAACGAATGGATAATGATATGGGACTTAAATATAAATATTCTTTAGATGTCAGGCTGGTCACGCAACATACAGAAGCGATATTTGCGCTTCAAAATTTATTATCACAAAAGAAAAATAACATTACAAAAAATGCGATTGGTACAATTAACAGAGAAAAAAATATGATATAAATTTATACAATTTTCAGTGATACTAGAAAACTTATTTTTTGTGTTTTGTGTCCTTAAATTCTAAACCGACAGAATTCTAAAAGGGCTAATTGATACACCTATACATGTTTATCAAAAGAACAGACATTTTTCTTTTATTCTCAATTCGTCATTGACCTATCCTACGAACCTTTAACTGACAAATGTGTCGGATATACAGGGATGTCAAAAATGAATCACAGGAGAGAAAAACTATAGGAAAGAATTTATGCCTTCACGGTTTAATGTTATTTGTACTTTTATAAAACAATCATTTTAATATAATAACAAATATTGCATGAAGTTGAAGATAACATTGAAAATTTTTTCTCCCCTCGAAAACCATATGCATTCTTAACCTCGGTTTGACAAAGGTTATCTTTGGGTGAAAATTTAACCCAAATGTTATCCTCAGCAACATGAAGCATTATAAAATTTCGACGTTTTATCAATTAACAATAGCTATTTATTCATTTGGTGACTCGATATATCCCAGTGAACTCAAATTAAAAGTTTCATATTTAGTTGCCATACTGACTATAGGAATTTATGGCCAACTAAAATTTAAAGTATACGACAAACAAATTTATTCAAATTTTTGTTTAAACTCAGCTGCGCATTTGGCAAATTCTATGGTTGATATAATGACCTTGTTTTCAAATACATGTTTTTGAATGAAGGTGGCAGAGGAGTATACTGATTCAGTATAGTGACACCACTACTAAGCCAACATTTTGAACGAACAGTTTACTTCAGTATTCACGCAAGAGGACAACTCCAACTTACCTGAGAAATCCACGAGTCCTTACTCACCTGTCCCAGGCCGGTGTCCTGAAGCTCTTACACAACATCAACCCATACAAGGCAACTGGTCCAGACATCCCAGGGAAATTCCTGAAAGAACTAGCAAATGAAATTTCACCTATACTCACCACCATATTCAATGTTTCAATACAGCAAGGAAAGATACCTGATCAGTGGAAAGAGGCACTTATAACACCATTATTTAAGAAAGGAGACAGAGGAAAGGCTTCTAATTATAGACCAGTCTCTCTAACATCTATCTGTTGCAAATTAATGGAACATATATTACACAGCAATATCATCACACATCTTGAGGCAAATGGAATATTATCGGATTACCAACATGGGTTTCGTAAACAAAGATCTTGTGAATCCCAGCTCATCATAACACATCCAGGAGCTAGCCGATGGATTGAATAGTGGAGACCAAATGGACTGTGTCCTACTCGATTTCTCAAAAGCCTTTGACAAGGTGCCCCATCAAAGACTCCTGAGTAAATGCTACTATTATGGTATAAGAGGCAGGACATTAGAGTGGATTAATAATTTTCTGAATGGTCGTACTCAGAAGGTCATCCTAGAAGGGAAGTCATCAAGAACATCAGAAGTCACATCAGGGGTGCCGCAGGGAACGGTGCTTGGCCCACTTCTCTTCCTAATTTACATCAACGATCTTCCAGAAAGAGTAACATCAACAGCCCGTCTTTTTGCTGATGACTGCTTACTTTACAGAAAGATCAGTAAAGAAGAAGACACCAATTACATCCAACAAGACCTTGATAGACTGCAGTCATGGGAAAATGATTGGTTAATGTCATTCAACCCAGATAAATGTGAAGTGCTGCATGTGACCACAAAAGGAAACCTATAATAAGAAACTACACCATCCATGAAAAGAACCTAACCACAGTAAAGTCTGCAAAATATCTAGGTCTTAACATCAGTGGCAACTTATCATGGAATCAGCACATCGGAACAATTACAAAGAAAGCAAACAACATCAATGCTTTTCTGAGACGCAACATCAGCACATGCCCTAGCACTATCAAGGCGCAGTGCTACACCACCTTAGTGAGACCAATAGTGGAGTATGCTTCAATCATATGGGACCCAGTAACACAGAAAAACATCTATGAACTGGAAATGTGCAAAGGAGAGCAGCACGCTTTTGTTACTGGAAATTACAGAACAACTAGCAGTGTGACCAGGATGCTCGAAGATCTGCAATGGCCAACACTACAAGAGCGCAGACATAAAGCAAAGGCCATCATGCTTTACCGTATTGTTTACCATCTTGTTGCAATACCATCACAAAACTACCTTGTACCAAGGGGAGCTAACTTAACAACACGGGGTCATAACATCAGGTTCCTGCTCCCTTATTCCAGAATTCAGGGTCATCAGCAGTCTTTTTTTCCATCTGCCATAACACTGTGGAACAATCTACCATCTACTGCTGTCAACTCCTCTAGCCTGGAGGGTTTCAAGAACAGCATTGGAGCAATCAGAATGACATAATTCCAACATTTTTAATTGTAAATAATACCAGAATGGTTTTTATGTACTGTAAATAGACCGTTGTTTCCCTTTGGGCAAGTGTACATAGTGACAATCACGACATTACACCAGCAGGTGGCTTGTGATTTAAAGGAAGAAGAAGAAGAAGAAGAAGAGAGTTTTTTTTGGAAATCAAAACGTTTGGCTGACATTTTCCTTTATATTGAGCTGCTTGTAAAATGTGCATTGGAAAAATTTAAATTTTCTCTACATGTAACAATAGTATGGTCTATTCCCTTGAGGACTTGGAAGCTTTTAGGAATGAAACATGTATAATCAAAATTTCTTGAAAATTTAGCCTATTTGCACTATTTCGCCAGATCCAAAACAGCTTCCAGACCCGTGCTAATACCCTACGTACGCTACCACACAAAATTCAGACAAACACCTGTACAAACCACTGATAGCAAGAGATCCTGGTTCAAGTACCTCATTTTCAAGCTAGAAAGCATCCTATGAACCCATCCCGCTTTTCTGAGGAAATCCCGGATGAGTGATTTTTTTTATTTTAGTTTCGTATTTCTAGTCCATATCCTATGAATAGTAGTAGTGACACGAAAGTGTCTTATATCAATAAAATATACAAGGCCACCAATTCCCTCCAAATGCACACATAAAATATTCTAGCAATAAAATCACATATATGTATTCAAACCTTAGGTGTCTCTATTTTTTTTTTAATTTTTGAAACTATCCTCTCCCACCTTTAATATGCTCATACCTAATGTTTGGCCATCGGTGTACACTAATTTCGTCTTAATCCGTTTATCTGATTAATACAGAGAGCTCATGGCGGATGTGACCGGTCGACAGGTGATGGTTACTCCTCCTAAGCGCCTTATATTGCTAGTGATCCGTGATTTCGCCCTTAATGATTCCTTTCTTTACTAGAGTTGTGAATTTTGTCAATGTTTTGTGTTCTTCATTTTTTACATTTCATCATTACGTAAATGACAAGATCAGAACCTTTTCAAAAATCGCAAAAATTTAAAATAGTTTACAGTTTTTGTTGCTCCACTACCTTAGTTTCTATTTTCCCAAATGTTAATCTGTATATGTACATCTGTATATATACATAAGCAAAGCTAAAAAAAAAAAACCAACAAAACTACTCTTTAGATGAAATGATTTTAAAAATAATTATAAAAATAATATTTACAAGAAAAGAGCCGATGGCGTTTTATTTCGAGATAGATTTAACAGACATATCCATTGCAACATTTGTTAAAATTAGAATTGTACGCAGTAGTTCCACAGCAACTTGTGCCCCATCTCCGGTTATTTACAACTCCGTTGCAACAAACTTGAAATTGGGAATAATAGGCTCTTGTTCCGCAGCAACTTGCGCCTCTGCTGCGTCTAGTTACAAATCCGTTGCAGCAAGTATCAAAATCTGAGTTGTATGCCATAGTTCCACAGCAACTTGTGCCCCAAACTCGCCTATTTACAACTCCGTTGCAGCACATTTCAAATCCAGAATGATAATACTGGTGTCCACAAACATCTGAAGAGAAAAAGACTGAAAATTAGCGTCATCAGTGTTTAAGACCCAAAGTGCTTGCATAAATGAAGTACTTAGTACTTGTTTCTGGTTTATAAAAGTAACAAAAGGATTAATGATCACATGGAATTTTATATCGTAGCAATAATTTTTAAATGAAATCAATCCATCTATGGCTGTAGTTTAATTTAAAATGAAATATGGAGATAACGAACAGTATTCAAGCTCAAAATCCATTAAAACAATACAAATCGGGAGCAGAGCAAACACGGACCTCCAAAAACAACAGAGAAGGGAACAGGTGCTAGGGAGGAGTGAGAATCTCTTGTTTCATCAACTTGTTTGTCAATAGCTCGTTTTAGAAATTGTTCATGCGTAGAGCATGCTCTTGCGTATCGAATCAACTGGGAGACAAAAACCCTATATGCAGGTGATAAGGGTCCAGGGGTGTGCAATTAGCATCGCCCGACGCCCGGGGCTACCATTTTTGAGAGTCGGGCTAGTGGTTTTCTGCACGGAGGTAGCCCCTTGGGCTAGTAGAAATTTAAAAACTACACATGTAATGCATGAAAAGCACAACCGGTAATTACACTAATTTTTTTGCTATTAAATTCAAAACCAGTGAACATTTTCCAGGCAGCATGCTCCTATTGTCCATAAATCTTCATAATCGTATCCATTTTGGAGTACTACCTGACTTATTTACTTCAAAAACGATCGTTTTTTCCTAATCCGAATTTCCTCAATTCCTTTGTTTATGGTAAATACATACAGATATCTCATTAAATTATTTCCGATCACTCAATCAACTGAAAGATAAGTGTTATGTAATTAACATAAAATATATTTCCAGTGTATTTAATGATTTAAGATGAAAACAAAACGATTTTTGCTTCATTTTAGATGAGCTAGTGCAATGATCAGAAAAGGGGAAGATTTAAATTCTTTTTTTATTTTCTATCATAATCATTAATTTATATATGGTTAAATTTTATTAGCGAGAATTAAACTTTGAATTTAAAAAGAATGACCTTAGTACCCTGACCTTTTCAACGATTAACTTTTTTTTTTCAATATTAGTTTTTAATTTGGGCTAGTAATTTTTTACTTGGGGCTAGTAACTTTATTGCAGCCACTAGCCCGTGGGCTAGTACTTGAATTTTTTAATTGCAAACCCCTGAGGGTATAATGCTACATAAGAAAGGGAAGTTGACGATTGCAAAAATGAAGTCATCACGTTTATCATGAAGCTTTGCTGTTAGGTTACCATTTATGTCTTTCTCTAGTAAATTGTCCAAATATGAGACACATGTATCAGACTCTGTGGTATCTTTTATTTACAAGGAGCAAACGGCGGGTGTGACCGGTCGGCAGGTGATGCTCACTCCTCCTTGCCATCTGATCCCACCTCTGATGTCTTAGAGGTCCGTGTTTGCTCTGCTCTTATTTTGTAATATTCAATGGACTTTTGAGCTCGAATACTGTTCGTTATCTCCACATATTTTATTCAAGTTCACTGGGATATATCGAGTCTACATATGGATGGAAATAACTATTGTTAGTTGTTAATACGTCGTCGATATATCTAAAAGGTGTTAAGGAAGTTCGTTTCAAAATAGTGTTTAACTGAAGAGATTAATTCTTCAGTGTGACAAAATCATAAAATAGTGCTTTCAGTTTATACCGTATCAATAAATTTCTAGCAGAAAGTACAGGATTTTTTTTCCATATGAAAATATATAAACATCTTTAAAACACCCAAATGACAAAACTGCTGGTCATTTTGTGTGAAAATGTAGGATTATTTATTTTTGTTTCTTCACAGTTTTTCTTGCATCATACAAAACTGATGAGCTTAGGTAAATGAAAGATAAGTCCCTTTAAAAAATAAAAAAAAAATCTATACTGACTTGATAAATTTTTCATATTTGGCCCATCTTTTGGCGTAATCTTCTTCTGAATTCATAATATTTATGAAATTATGACGCTAGTTGAAAGATCGGGATTCCCTAAACTTTTTGCCCTTTTATAATAAGTGATTTAAGGTCCCCATTATTAATTATATTTACGTCACCAGTAATGACGTGACCAGCAGGGCTACAGTTGTAGGGTGAAGAAGAACATGAACACGTTGAAGAATTATGTTTCAGATGCTCGATATCTAGGCACTATGGATCTAAATATGGATGGCAGGCTTTTTCCGATGAAATCACGATGCATCTTTTTTGGGTTTTAAAATCATTTTCAAAAGTCCCAAAATGATTTTCATTTCTAATCCTAGGTGCATAGGGATTAAATGGTAAAGGACTTTTTAAATCCCCTAGAAATATTAAAAAACATTAAAGACATTTACTGCAGTTCCGTAAAATAGGGCAATTAATATATGAAAATTAACCAAAACAAAGGAATAAATTAAACAAATGAGCAAAAGTTATAATCAATAGTGGTAGGCATCGTTACCTAAGTCCCGGCGAGATAATGAACTTGCTATACATGATATATCTATTGACCTGGAACACTGCAGAACTATTCACGATGTCATTTCAGTGTGATTAAGGTCTCCTGGGTCACGCTGCTGATTTTCTGCTGTCTGTTTTTATTCTGTCGTCATGCGTTGTTATGAATTTTACTACGAAAATTTGATTTTTCAAATTTTAAGGTCGTGAACATATGCAACAGAAATTCATTTTTCTCTTTCATTCGCACATGATATGTGAATGTTTTAGATCAAAAATGCAGCTTTTTCTATGAAAATTTTGTAGGCAAGAAATTATGTAAGTCGTACGTGTTATCATACTGTTTTAAGTGTATAATGTTACAGAATGGAAAATGTGTACCAAATGAATATAAATTTTGACATGCCTGGCAGACATCTGACAGAATTTAATTGTTCAAATATATATGTTATGTATATCAGTGTTTGTTTGTAATTAATAAAGGGATAGAAAATAATAATAATTGAGCCCTCAACAAAAATGGTTTATAATTGTGACATTTATGGCCCCAGGGTCAGGCGTTGTGACGTTAGGATGGGGCTGAAGTGATCATATAATAAACAAAAACGAAATGATGAGCATGGGTGTCTCCTCCAAACTTGTGAAATTCATCGCTAATGTGTTGTAGTGCTGGAGATAGGGCGGGGCTTTTATTTGATTATAAACTGAAAATGCAATAATTCTTTGAATATCTTTTCCTCTGCTCCTGAGCGTCTTGGAGAGAATTAGAGTAAAGTTGTTATGAACAAGGTTGTTGTTTTAAATACCAGATTTGTAAAATTCTTGACAACTTGGTCAGGGGTTCTGGTACTGGGCAGGGCTCTATTGATCATGTAGAGAAATTTGTACTTTACTTTGAGAGAAGGTATTTCCCTTGATTATTTAACTGATATGATAATTAATCATGGTAAATAATGTAACTGATAAGTCAATCGAATAAATGAATTATATACAAGAATTTTTAATGTAGTACACAAAGAGTACTTTTGTAATTTTTGATGGTCACGTAGACTTATATTTATAACAGATAGAGAACAGGTCTTCCAACAATCTGTTGGAATTCCCATGGGTACTAATTGCGCCCCGTTATTAGCAGGCCTTTTTTGTTTTCATATGAAGCAGAATTTGTCCAAAATCTTATACGTTATAAGAAGAAACCACTTGCTGTGGCCTTCAGCTCGACATTTAGATATATCGACGACGTATTGTCAATTAACAATTGTTATTTCCATTGTTTTGTCGATACGATATATCCAGGTGAGCTTGAGATAAAAGATACTACATCTCTTTCATATTTGGATATTTTACTTGAAAAAGACAAAATGGTAATCTAACAACCAAGCTTTATGATAAACGTGATGACTTTAACTTTTCAATCGTCAACTTCTCTTACTTATGCAGCAATATACCTTCATAACCTACATACGGGGTTTATATCTCTCAGTTGATTCGATACACAAGAGCATGCTTTACGTATGTACAATTTCTAAAACAAAGTAAATTATTGACAAACAAGTTGATAAAATAAGAATATCAGCAGTCTCGTTTAAAGTCATCATTTCGTAAGTTCTATGGTCGATACATTGACCTTGTCAGCAAATACAATTTATCATCGAGTCAAATGCTGACTGACGTTTTTCATACTAATTGTGAGGCCATTATTTACACACTGAATTGTCGACGGATTTTTCCGTTATTTCCCGAACATGACAAGGAGCACACGGCGGGTGTGACCGGTCGGTAGGGGATGCTCACTCCTCCATGGCACCTGATCCCACCTCTGATGTTTGGAGGTCCGTGTTTGCTCTGCTCCTATTTTGTATTGTATAATGGACTTTTGAGCTTGAATACTGTTCGTTATCTCCATATATTTCAAATATAAAAACCAGGCTCACATATTTTATATTTGTTCATTAAATATTAATCGAAGATCAAAAGAAGCCAACAGTAAAAGTATTGTGGGTTTACATTTTGTTAACTGTGTTTTAGGTTATGATTTTTAATTTGATGATAGTGATAGAGTGGTTAGGACTAACACAATCTATACTTTCTGAGTTGTTGCTGTTTACCTGGGATTTCCTTGATCCCTGGTCATCATAATTCTATGGTTATTGAACAACATAGCTTCATTTAACAGTTTATTTTGTTTAAATAATCATTAAATTGTCATTTCATGGGACCTTTACAGGGTTGTATCACACTTAAAGTGACAGTTAAGACCCTTAAATCTTTTTTCTCTCAAACAGATCTCTTCAAACTACATACCGTACAAAGTTAACACTTCTCATGCCATACTACCCACTTTTAATAATTTTTAAAAATCTATCAGTGATTTAAACCGCATTTAAAGTAGCTCTTTCAATTTCACTACACTTTCAAAATTTTAAGTCGCGAAACTCAGTCTAACATGCATCATTCCGTACCGACTTGGAACCCGTGACGTTAGTTAGTCAGTGAGAATATCCTTTGTTTTTAAATCTGGTTTAATAAATTGTAAGAAAAAAGAAACGTTCATGACAACAATAAATTAAGCACAAGGAACTTTTTTCAGCACTTTGTTTGTTTTAAAAGGTCATTCATTTTAACAAAATTTAACTAATCTCCAAGAAAAATTTGATGCAGACATGTAAATGTGCTATTTTCTCCGCCTTGACGTGAGAATTCATTTTGCCTTCATTATATCAGATTTCTATGGATTGATGATATTTTTAAAATCTTTGTTTTAAAACTATTTTATCGCAAAATAAAGACAATATAGAATCGAAAATGACTTTTACATGTACATTTTTTTATTCTTGCCAAACAAGAAACTTTACATTTTTTTATGGAAATATCTTGTTGTAAACAGCTATACCTCATTAATTATTTTCTGACCCAGATTCACGTTTAATTAAAGATATAATTTAAAGTAATATTTGAAAGAAATAAAAAAACAACAAAATTTTTAAGGTTGTTAAGCATAATATTACCATTTTTTGTAATGAAAAGGAACTCGTTTGATAATCCTGAAGACTGTTGGCAAGGTGTCTAGTTTTCCGAAGCAATTTTAAAGAAAACATTTTTGGAGCTTCACACACACGATAATAAAAATAAAATTAAAAAAAGAAAACATACCTTGTCCATAAACTAGATCTGTGACCTGAAGACAGAGGAAGGACACGAACGCCAAATACAAAATCATCGTTAACGTATGTTAAGTCCTGTGCAATGGACGGCTATAATAAAAAGAATTTCAAAATAAATTTGATACAATATGTGATTATCTATAAATAAGATAGATTATCCATCAACTCATTTCTTGACAATCGTATGTTATAAATTTACTTCATCCTCTAAATCAATCCTACCTTTATCCTCTTGTCAATATGTCCTCTTCGTAGATAAAAAACTAATTCAGCTTTTATATAAATCACCTAGTTAATTTTATGCATCCTGTAAGAAGAAGTGAATTAGTTATGTGGTATTTTTCCTGTTTTTTTTGTGCGTAATTACTCAGATAAAAGGCCACTCAATCAAATAACGGAATTGTTGTTTATTACCATCGCTTTCTAATTCATTTTTGCTTCACTTGGCATTAAATATAAAATATGTCATCATTCTAATTGTAACACTCAGTAATTTTAAAACCAGATATGTCATTGTTACAGTGGGTCATCGTTAACATTAAAGAGTGTCATCACAATTATCGTCCTCAACAGAGCACTGTACATTGAAGAACTTCATCTGAAGTACGTCTTCTTGTCGTGATCGCTATCTATCAGCCTCACTACAACACTGTACAGTGAATTTAATTCGCCTGAGAGTCAGAATTTTGAAAATAATATATCATCCAACTAATATCCCGACTTTTAGTACTTCATCCCGTAGACAACGAGAAGAATACTGGATTAGGAAACTAGACACGGCCCTTCCGTATGGTTGCAACGACAACATAAATAATGTAGGGAATCTTTCAAGCCCACAGTCTGCAAATGTGAATGTGATGGGACTTTTTAACAATACACTTAGACGTAGACGTAGCCATGGATATTGGTCATACAATTGACCAAATATGCATGATGTCTTTTTTGGTTCACTTTTGTCCTACGTCAAGAAACAATTAGGCCTTCATCATATTCTCACCAAACTCTTCCCTCTTCCCTTGAAATATTTGAATGGTCTATTTGAGGAAGCTAAAGCAAGACCAAATTTAGATTCGTCAGCTGTAGAATATAATCAAGTGTTTGTGATTATGGATGTTGCCCAGCACAGGCTCTTTAAGCCACCACGTCTGTTGGAAGATAATTTTAACTCAACCCGTCGGTTCCTTATACTTAAATTTTCCAACAAAGGAATGGATGCTGTGAACATTAGTAACATTCTTAATCATAAAAAACTTCAGCCTTGCATTCCACGATAATTCAAGTTGAACTCTACACCCTGCTTTTCCTACAAATTTTCCCAAACTGTTGCTTCCAAGCTTTTCAATTATAAACAGAATTTGCAGTGCCTAGATGTTGAACACCTTAAACAAAATCCTGTTCAGTGTTCTTGCTTTTCTTCTTCTTTCAACTATAGTCCAGCTGGACATGTCAATACTCGTGACGTAAATATAGTTGAAAATGAAGACCTAAAAGCAATTATCTTAAAAGGTCCTAAATACAGGGAACCCCGATCTTTCAATTGGCGACAAAACTTTATTTCTATTATGAATTCTGTCGAAGATTATGCCATACGATAGGCTAAGTATGACAAGAACGATCTGAACACTTTGTCAGATTGGATTAGGTTTTTTTTTAAAAAGAAATATATCGTTTTCTCTAAATCAGAGTCGATAAAAGAATAAAAAAGATTACATAAACAATATATTATGGTTCGAGCTGATGAGGCCTGTAACAATATCGTCTGTGTTTGTAAGGCTCTTCTTATAACTGTATTTTAGAAGAACTTGGATTTAATTCCTCTCCTGGAAATACAGCTTAATCTTGCAGTTCCTTTTCTAAAGATGAAATTCTTCAAATCACATTTCAGTGTTAAATACTTTTAACATTCCGGTCAACCAACATTAGTTCGATCTGCCCTACCTATGCTGGATTCCTAAACTTCCTTAGTGTGAAAAATCCTTACAGAGATACATTGCCGGGTCCAGCAAATGCTCTATCAGGCCCCTATCTTAACTCCTTACAAAAATATTAACTGCTGTAAAGGAGAAACTTCAGACGTACTGTGCTACAGCATATTCTAGATGTGGTGTAAATCAGTTGCTTAACATGCTTCATCTTGCAGAAGTCTTCATTTCTTGTTTCTTTGGTAAAAATCTTATTTCACACAATGCTGGACATAACTGGATACCTTTTTGTTTTTTTATCACACCTTTTTAAATTCTTCTGTCTTCATTATACCATCAAAAATCTCAACCGGCTTCCTGCCAATACTATCACAATCACCTGCGTATTTTCAGCTTTTTGATTGATAACTTGTTTAAAAAAATATTCTTGCCATAGATACATGTTTGTTTTCAGATTGTCAGATTATGAATTCAGAAGGGGAGGGACTGTGTGTGGTTAAATAAAATGACACCTGTATTTTGAAAAGGTGTCGGGGTCCTTCCTACTTAGTTTTTTCTTTAACAATCATTTCACATAAATATATGTGTAATTTAAAAGTTTCATACATTTTCCATCTTTCTTCCTTTTCTGTCAAAAATTTGCGCAGTCTGAATTTCTTTTTAATTATTCCTGTTTATTATTAGAGCATTATATGTTTTGAATCTCCAGGGTTTTGCTTTTTGTTATAAGCAATTTTGAAAAATTTACATGCACTGAAACTGATACATGTGCGTTGTCAGTGTGAAAAATGTACATGCAAAATATATTTTTAGCGAACAAATTCCAAACCGTTTACAAGATAACAGTGTGAAAGGCACATGTACATTCTATGTGTACCAATTCAAGAATTTTTTCGAAAATGTACACGAGGACATCGGTCATCGTACGATTGCGTACCACGTATTTTCTATGAAATATGGAGATAAGGAACAGTATTCAAGCTCAAAGTCCATTAAAACAATACATATCGGGAACAGAGCGAACACGGACCTCCAGAAAGATCAGAGGTGGGTTCAGGTGCCATGGAGGAGTGAGCATCCCCTGCCGACCGGACACACTCGCCGTGTGCTCATTGTCATGATCGGGAAAAACAGAAAAATCCGTAGACAATACAGTGTATAAATAATGGCATAACAATTAGTATGAATAACGTCAGTCAACAATAGACTTTATGATAGGTTGTATATGTGCTTACAAGGTCATTATATCGACCATAAAATTTGTGAAATGATGACTTCAAGCGAGACTGTTGATATTCTTGTTTCATCAATTTCTTTGTCAATAGCTTGCCTCGTTTTAGAAATTATTCATACGTAGAGCATGCTCTCGCGTATCTAATCAGCTGGGAGTCAAAAACCCCATATGCAGGTGATAAGAGTATACATGTTACAAATTTAAAAGGAAATATGCGAACCATCTATCTTTCCACTAAATCAGAGGTGATAAATGAATTAGAAAGACTACGTGAACAATATTTTACGTTTCCAGCAGACAATGTAACAATACCATCTTTGTTGTAAGGGGCATTTTACAACTTTATTTTAGAAGAACCTGGCTTTAATTCTACATCTGGAAATCCTAGTTATACTCACAGTTCATTTTCTTCAAAATCACATTTCAGACTTCAATGCTTTTAACATTGCAGTCAACAAAGATGAGATCGATCTACCCTTCCTAAACTGGATTCCTTAACTTCATGAAAATCCTTATAACAGATCCATTGCCGTGTCCAGTAAGTGCTTTACCAAGCCCTCTCTTTACTCCTTACAAAAATATCAACTGCTGTAAAGGTTAAACTTCAATGTACTGTGCCACCAAATATTACAGAAGTGTTTAAAGCAAATGTGGATTTTCAAAACTCCAAAAAACTTTTAGAAAATTTACATCACAATTTTTTCAAGTGTTAGTAATAGCAAAACGTTAGAATATTGATGAGACGAAAAACCCGTGATAATATGCTTTTTTCTGCAGTTAAAATCACTCACCTACCAAGTACAATCTTGTTTATTAGGATTACTGTGCAAGAGAATCATAAACAAAGAAAACGTATTTTTTGTTGAAGTATTTAAAAGGCGGGTACTGTAAGAAGGCTAATCACTCAACCATTTGACTAAATTAATATCACCTGAAGCAGTCATTATGGAGTATAAGCAAATTCATTTATTAAAATTTCAGTTGGAGCAAATATGTTCTAAAATGCAGCAGTAATAATGAGCCCGACAATGATTATATTGTTAAAAGCCTATTCATCTGAAAATATTTTTAATGTTTCCAACAATCAAATTGAATTTGAATTGCCATACTTCATACTATAATGGATTACCAAACTACATAAAAATCCTAACAAAGATATATAGCTTATTTCAGTAAATGTTCTACCAAGCGCCTTTACTCTCATTAAGATATTAACAGCAATGAATGAGTACTTAACAACAATATATTCAAGAAGTGGTGTTAATCAGATGTGATGCTTAAAACTCCAAGGAACATTTAGAAAATATGAAATTACAAAATTCTACCAAAACAATTGCATCAAAACGTACGACTTTTCAACACTTTATACAAATATTCACGTACTTTAAATTAAGGTCCGGACTTTTTGACAAGGAAGGTTACTTTTTTAATAAGAAATAAACTTGAAAATTTGCATACCTAGTCATTTGTCATCTGCAATATCATTTTGGTTAAAAAATACATTCTGACACTAGTAATCTGAAGTTGATATTAAAGTGTTTTTATCACGTATCTTAATTTCTTAAAAATGAAACTATTATGTTCACTTGTCATTTAATTATTAAATAATTTTGAAAACGGTCGTAATTAGGCGATAACACGCCCGTAACAAAGGGTCCTCGAAGTAAAAGATTGGGGTAAAGTGGTACTGAAGCGTCATAGGTGTCAATAGTCAATTAGAACTCGTGAAGCAGATTTTAACGTTGAATAAATAGACTACACAATATGTTCGAAGAAATTTTGACATAGACAATATTCCTTGACTATGGACGGTCAATCGTATATGTATGAACATCTACCATAGAGAAATAACCAAGGAATGAAGCCAAAAAGGGGAGAGGACAGCGAAGACGAAGGCTTTGATAACCCCGAACTTCGACTGAATAGAACAAATTACTAAGGTTGGACTACGTAAATATATATAAAAATGATTTTTTAAAATTTTATTTCTTCATTATTTTAATATATAAATGAATGCTGCATATCTTGTATCTATCCCAACATTGAATATTATGTACTAGAAATGACACTAAGTGTTTAATGGCGCCATACGCCATTTTAAACTGCGTAACATTCTTACTAGATTCTGTGCGACTTTTAAAATGCATGTTTTTTTTTTTTCGTTCTGAAAAATTACCATTTCCTTAAAATATTTTATAGTACAGAAAAAAAAAATCATGATTGGGCAAAAAGGATTGTTCTGAATGGGAAGAAAGCCCTCGTATTGCAGAAAAGACCCCCTTTCACCTCCCTACCAAGTCCAGGGCTTGTAAAAATCTTCCTAGAACCTTTCATTTCGCCAGCTCATCTCCATATATTTCATTCTATGGTCGATATAATTACCAAATACATATATCGAATAGCAAATACATTATATCGAATATTGACCTACATTTTTTCATACAGGTTGTTAAACCATTATTTTCTAAATTGTTCACATATTTTTCCCGTTTACTCGATCATGACCAAAAGTACACGGCGGGTGTGACTGGTCAGTAAGGGATTCTCACTCCTCTATTGCACCTGATCCCACTTTTGTTTTCAGTAGTTTGTGTTTGCTTTGCTCTTCTCATAATTTGTATTGCCCTCAGAGCATGGTTTCGGTTCTTTATCTTCGCATTTTATTTCTATGAAAATGCAATGTTAATTTACAGTAATTTCGATTTAATAAAAAACACTTTGAAATACGATTTAATAGTAAAAAGACAAAAGTTTATTTTTTATAAACAACTCATCTGACAGATAAGTTTGTTGCAACACAAAATATCAGGATTGTCTGCGTTGTCTAACTAACAGCTTAAGCCTTTGCCTACACGAATTACTCCATTGCAGCATGAGAAATAGTTAGGGTCGTATGGTTTTGTTCCACAACATTTTTTGTCTTTCCCCACATAGATTTCTCCGTAGCAGCATGAGAAATAGTTAGGGTCGTATGGTTTAGTTCCACAACACTTCTTGTCTTTCCCCACATAGATTTCTCCGTAGCAACATGAGAAATAGTTAGGGTCGTATGGTTTAGTTCCACAACACTTTTTGTCTTTCCCCACATAGATTTCTCCGTAGCAGCATGAGAAATAGTTAGGATCGTATGGTTTTGTTCCACAACACTTTTTATCTTTTCCAAGATAGATTTCTCCGTAGCAGCATGAGTAATAGTTAGGGTCGTATGGTTTTGTTCCACAAAAGCCTGTAGAGAAAACCATTGAAAGTAATATTGTTCCTATATAATACATAGAAACTGGGTCGCATAACTTGATAATGAATTTATTTTTCGGCAAAGTAATTTCGTTGATTCAGGGATATGTTGTGTAGACTTCTTCAAGAAATAATTTCTGCTCAAATTCAGAAGACAGAAACTATAGATTTACTGGTTTGACCTGCGCAATTGCTGAAGAAGTTGTAAAGACGCATTACTTTTACATTTAATCTCAAGCGTTTGGATATTTCATATAAAAGAATACTGCCGTCTTTTTAAAGGCAGACTACTGACAAATATATACATGATACAATGATATCAACAATCTCATTTATAGTCAAAATTTTGTAAATTATAAGGTCAGTACAGTGAACTTGATTGCAAATAAAATGAATTGGTAAGTCGAAATTTGATCGACGTAATTCATTGCTAAAATATTATTTTCACACTGAATTGCGTGACCCATATAAAGGGGATGCTTAATCCTAACTGGCACCTATTTCAGACCTCTATGTTGGCTCTGCTCATAATTTAAATTGTTTAAATGGACTTTTGAGAATGATCACAGTTCATTATCTTCACATTTCATTGATAAAATTTAAATTTATTTTTTAAAAACGACACGTTTATCATCTATCTATTAACCACTTTATTCTATCAATTTAATTCATTCCAATTTTTTTATCTTATTTTATGTAGATTCATTTTAACTTTAACTATTATTTAATAAAAGTATTCCTCTTATACAATTCGTTGTTTTTTTTTTTATCGGAACGTGTTAAAAAACGGCTTCATGATACAGAAACAAACATGTCAGCCTTATTGTATCATATGGTATCATTTGTCATGGCATTGCTTTTGTGAAAAACAGTAGCAACAGTAGCACGGAATATATATATATATATATATATATATATATATATATATATATATATATATATATATATATATATATATATATATATATATATATATATATATATATATATATATATATATATATATATATATATATAGGGGCCTCCGGGTATTGCGAGATCGGATACAGCGAGGTACCGCTTACAACGAGATAAATTTTGAGTCCCAAATTAATTCTTATATATTTCCTCTATAAAATGCCGGATGAAACGAGATCGCTTACAACGAGATACCGCTTATAATGAGATCAAAATCTGTCCCGGTTAGTAAAAAGAGCTATCGGATATAACGAGGTATTCGCGTCGCGCATAACTGCACCTGCTAGTCCCAGGTAAATAACGGTAATTATCATAGGTATATGTACACAACTTTACACCATGACAATTGATTAAAGGTGTATAAAGGAAGTAGCGAGTTGTTTTTATTGCTTTGTTAACTTCAGTATTGTTTCTAAATGAGTTCATTGCGAAAACTCAAAGGGTTCTCGAGATATCGCGCGGAAATGAGTCATTTTATACGAACCAAAAGTAGAAGTTATTCACGAAGTTTGAAAGCATTCAAGTAAAATTACTAAGGACTATGGATGAGAATTGAACACATTTATGAAAATTTTAAAAACCAAATAGAACTTTACATTGCCTTAGAATTTCGGCCTGGTGATTTTGATATATAAAACGTATTGTATGCAAATGTACTTGACTTGGCAGAGTTAGTGAACCTGCTTGGTCAGCACGTGGAGCTAAAATGAGCAATACTGATTTACAATCGAGTCTTCCGACGATTCTTTCGGCATTGATTCTTAAGTGATTACAGCAGATAATAAAAAATGATAATATTTTAAAAGGAAAGTGCGAGTGAAATAGATTGAATAGGTTGGCGAAATTGAAACAAAAATTGTGACAATGTCAAAGCGTTGAGAAATTTCTACAAAATAATTGATCACTAGACGCAGAAGTGGTACGGAAAAGAAACACCTATTTTCAATATGTATATTAAATTGGACAATGATGACTCTACTTCCTTAATAAAATTCGACACTGCAGTGTATTTGTGTTTCATCATAATTGCGCAGTGCAATGATTTATCTTAGTTACAAATATACATGTGTACATGTAGCGAACCTGCTACGTCTTTCTTTATTTGACCTCCTTAAATACGTTTACGTGCACTAGTTCAATTGTGTATATTTTTTTTTATAAAAGAAATTATTTTATTGTTTTCAAACAGTGTCTTTTAATACATCTCTTAATCAGCTGTTTATTTTCATGTTATATGAACGTTATTTCACTTAGGAACATGCTCAATGATAATTTTTTAATTAAACACCGGTCAACTCTAAGCTAACAAAATGCAGATATAACGAATATCGTATATAAAGAGATTGAAACCGATGTCCCCAGCATCTCGTTATATCAGGAGTCCATATATATATATATATATATATATATATATATATATATATATATATATATATATATATATATATATATATATATATATATATATATATATATATATATATATATATATAATTAATATATTCAAAGAAGCAATATATTACCAATCTTTCATGAAATCAAAAAATGTAAATAAAAAGTAAGAATACAAAATCGGAAACAAATTTTCGTAAAAGCGCAAACTCGCGTAATTTAAGTTGTCAGTTCTGTCGTACGTGTTATAATACAATGAATGTCTAAAGTGTAATGTTCAATAACGAAATATGCCAAGATACCTCGTTCAGATGACGAGTTTGCAATCAGAAGAAGGAAAACGAATCCCAAAATAATCATCGTTGAGGTATCTTTTGTCCTGTATAGTGGGTGGCTACAATAAAAATGTAATCCCTTAATTTACAAATGAATTTTTAAAATTGTACAAAAAACATTTTATATATTAATCTATCAAAATAAAAGATGAAGATTCTAAAGTTAACCTGCCGCAATTAAAATAAGTCAAAATCTTGTCTACCTTAGGCTTCGGTCGACTTCTTATCACAGAGAAACTAGATCCGATTTTATATAAAGGTTTCAAATCTAAAACATCCCAACAAACCTGCATCCTGTTGACATAAATAAATCGATGTTTTTTTTTCAATTTGTGAGTAATGTCAGATATACAGCTTGTTTGTCGAATTACGTGATTTCAAACAGGTTTTTTCGTTTTTAAAATCACTTTTATCATCGGGATTTGCCAAACAATAATTTACTCGGATTAAGGTCATGAAATATGAAGATTAAGAATAGCAGTCAATCTCAAAAGTCCATTGAAGGAAAACAAATTTGGAGCAGAGTTAACACGGACCTCTAAAAAACATCAGAGGTACGTCCCATGGAGGAGTGAGCATCCCCTGCCGACCTGTCACACACGTTGTGTGCCCTTTGTCATGACTGGGGGAAAACGGGACAAAATTTAGTGTAAAGGATATGGCCTAACAATTAGTATAAAGAACTTCAGTAAGCCTTTGACTGAATGATAGGTTATATGGATGATACCATGACCTTGTCAGCAAATACAACCCATCATTAAGTCAAATACTGACTGACATTTTTCATACTTATTATTAGACCATTATTTACACACTGAACTGTCTACGTTTTTTTTTGTTTTTCCCCGATCATGACAAGAAGCACACGGTGAGTGTAACCGATTGGCAGGGGATGCTCACTTCTACATGGTACCTGATCCTACCCCTGATGTTATGGATGTCCGTATTTGCTTTGTTCCAAATTTGTATTGTTTCAATGGACTTTTCTGATTGATTACTGTTCGTTATCTCATATTTCATGACCTCAATCCGAATATATTATTTCATCAGTTAGTGATTTCATCTTGAATCTGTGAAAATTAAAAAAAATTAATTCAGTTCATATAAGTAGAACCCCCCTTTAAAAGAAAACTTTCTTTTTTTCATTAATTTAAGACACACTCCCCTATTTCTTAAAATGCAATCAAAAATCATATAAATAAATAAAAACTTCTGAAAAAGAAATAGAAGTCTCTATATTTGTAATTGCTCTCTATTGTTAATCTGCATTGAATGTATTTGCATTGATGTAGACATGCAACATCATTTTACAATAAATTTCGTTATAAAAATGCTGATGTAGTTTCTTTACTCGTCCAAAATAATTTAACAGAAAACTCTACTGCAAATGATAATAAGTCTGAGAAGTATAGGCAAAAGTTCAAACGCAGCTCCTTAAGGTATTGATTACAAGACTACAAAATTATGTTTCATGGCACCAGTTGCCCTTTTCTTAGATAAAGATCTGCAATACAACATAGATATGATTACAGGATGTGGACAGCTGATTAACGTGTCAATATCAACGATTTATTCAGAAAACAATGACAAAATGAATTTTCATAAAAAATAGATTTTTTCATATTTATTAATCACATTCCTATGTTTTGTTTTATAATTTTACCACATATATTCAAGCTAGATACACAGATTTTTGTCTAATGCAAAATTTAATCCCAAAAATTTGTTTTCTTTTAAAATCTATATCATCGTGCAATCCTTTCCTTTTGCGAGGAATAAAAAAATGTTCATTTCCTAGATGAGTCTCTATGAAAATGATACATTACAGATTCCAATTAAACTTTCGACTCCTTTTTAATTAGTATGATAAAATTTACATGTATTAAAATCTTTACAAGATTCGACCAAAATGAATAAAATGGAACGGCTTATATGAATGAAATAATCCTGCAATGGCCGTAAAGTATAACAATCAATTAATCATAACAAGAAAGGAATATAAACTTTGTTAAAAGTCTGTCAATAAATCTCTAAAATCTAGATCCATTAAAAGGCATTATTATTATAAATAATATCATTGATTACTTAGTATACCATGAGATATGGAGATAACGAACACTATTCAACCTCAAAATCCATTCCAACAATACAAATCCAGAGCAGAGCAAACATGGACCTCCCAAAAGATCAGAGGTGGGATCAGGCGCCATGGAGGAGTGAGCATCCCCTGCCAACCGGTCACACCCGCCATGTGTTCCTTGTCATGGCTGGAAAAATAAAATCGGAAAATCCATAGGTAATTTAGTGTCTAAATAATGGCCTAACAATTAGCATGAAAAAATATCAGTTAGCATTTAATAGGTTATGTTTGCTAACAAGGTCATTGTATCGAAAATAAAAATTGCGAAATGACGACTTGTTTCTTCAATTTGCTTGTCAATAGCTTGCCTTGTTTTAGAAATTGGTCGTAGAGCATGCTCTTGCGTTTGGAATCAACTGAGAGATATAAACCCCATATGCAGGTGATAAGGATATATTGCCATTTAAGGGCTTAGTTCTAATACTTTTTTGTTTAGACCCCTCCACTTTGTATTATGCAAGGAACACACGGCAGGTGTGACCGGTCGACAGGTGATGCTCAATCCTCCATGGCACCTGATCCCACCTCTAAATTTTGAGGTCTGTGTTTGCTCTGCTCCAAATTTGTATTGATTCATTGGACTTTCGAGATTGCATACTGTTCGATACCTTCATATTTCATGTAGTAATATTCCACTATCACCTGCATATGGTGTTTTTGTCTCCCGACTTATTCGATACTCAAAAACATGCTCTGAATAAATCAATTTTAAAACCAAGGTAGGCTACTGACAAATAAAGTGTTGCTATGTGGATTTCAACAATCTCATTTAAAGCCAGCATTTCGTAAATTCTATTTTCCATTTAATAAATCATGGTAACAAATATAACGTATCATAAGATCGTATTTTGTCTGACGTTTTTCATATCAATTGTTAGACAATTGTTGCCTGACGCCACGTGCGTCAGGCAGTATAAGGATTAATATTTCAGAGATCCGAAACTAAGCGATCATTCTTAATGAACTAGATTTTGTGCAAGCTGATTTACATCGGAATTTGTTACCTGCATTTAAACAAATACAGTGTGCAGAAGAAAGAATCACATAACTGATGCAAAATGATGATGTGTTTAATTCCTTCAATTTTTTTTGCATGCACATGTTTATTCTTTGCGATTCTTTGTACAGACTTGTCCGTGTTACATTTTTTCTGCGTTTCTACACTACTGGATCAGTCCATTTGGCTTCTATGAAAGGGGTGACACAATCATTTCGCACCAAATGTCACATGTAAATTATCTTCGCGCCTTTTTCTTGGGTTGTTCTATTGAACGGGTGTGATAACTTCTATGGAAATAAATAAAGTTTATTCTTTTAACATGATTCTTAAGCTCCAGATTTTTTTATTAACAGTAAATTTTATCTCATTTTTTTAGAGAACACATTGTATATGGACAGGCAACACTAAAGCAATGGATTTGCTGATTATTCTTACTATTTATCCAATAAGTGGACTAGTCTAATCATAAACAAACTCCGGCCCTCCACCTAGTAAATGGGACATCCCTTCTTGATTCAGTCTGTTTTCCACCTAGCCTTTTTTTCAATATTACATATATTAATAATGTACGTTACAAGGTTAGGTTTTTAAAAATGCTTAGAAAGTCATGACGCGAGTAGCATCTTATTTCATGCTTTGTGATGAACAAGGGTTTCCTTTTAATACAGTGACAATAGTGTAGTCAGTAGCCGTAGCGGAATGGGCTTCACTCCCGTAATGTTCTAAGTAAAGAATCGGCAAAATGAAGAAGACATAATGATCTGTACTGGTTTTCATTTCATAAAAAGCACGTTATTATAAATATGAGAAAGGTCCTGAAATCGATTGAAAAGAAAAACTAAACAATTTCAAAACTGTATATAAAGATGTATTTTAAACTCATTTATAATACATGTATATAGTAAGACCATCATCGTGTGAGTTTTGTCCGGGGGGGGGGGGGTTATTAGTATCTTGTTTTGCGCTAGTTATAAAGTGTACAGGTCATTTACTTGGATTTCTAGAGCAGCATTGAAGCATTTTTGTCTCAAACACTTCAAGACAACTTTCTCAGTTAAAACTGTTCATAATTTACTTCGTCGTCGAGAACGACGGAAAACAGACCAGTCTATAAATAGAGGCCGTCATCACTGACCAGGGACTGTGCATGAAGAAGAGCGCCCTCTAGTAAGAGAGTACATGTAATATGAATTTCTTTAAAAAGAATCATCTAACTATTTTTTCCTCAGAATTATCAGTGGCGGATCGAGGAATTTCATAACGGGAGGGCGCAGTAGAAGGCAGGGGGTCTGGGGGGCTGTATTGAAACCCCAGTGGCTCCAAGGCAAAGCCCTGATGGGGGTTCGGGGGCGAAGCCCCCGGAAGCTGTCAAATTCTTACAAATAAGAGGTGTTTTTTCCTTGATTTTAGGATAATGAACATGTAAGTTCTACATACAAAAAATTCAAACGGGGGGGGGGGGGGGGCACGCCCGGCGCGCCGATGCTGGATCTGCCTTTGATTATAATCTACGCTAGCGCACTTGCAGTTTCATCCCAAGGTAACTAGTCAGCCCGTGCGCTAACTAATAAATGACCAAATAGTGGCATATCTTAGATATTCGTTAATCTGTAGTATTTGGTTATGACATTTAAGAAAGTCAATTGTACATCTTGTGTAATGAAGTATCGCAACTATGTCGCTCCTTGATGACGGAAACATTTAGCACCTCTCTTGCATATACGTTCCATAGATATTGATTGATTAGTCAGGCAAGCTTTTTGAAAAGCTATTACTTGTTTTGAGACTAAATTCTCCGTCTACCTCATCAATACTAGGGCTTACGGCGTGTGTGACCAGTCGACAGGGGATGCTTACTCCTCCTACGCACCTGATCTTACCTAAAATTTCGGAGGTCCATGTTTTATGCCCTGTTAACAGATTTATTTAATTTGTTGATTTTCTTTTTCAAATTACCTTCACCTCTTTCATTGAGATAAATAAATTTAAAAAAAATCCCCTCCTAAAAGGAATCGTTGATCAACGAATTAAACGGAAAATATCGCAACATGTTAATGCTAAGTCAGTGTAGCATGTTGTAGTTTCACAACATCTGTTGCCTTGCTAAAGGTATTAAATATTGTTTACAATTAATATTAAATGTTGAAATAATGTTTTACACACTGAATTGTCTACGTTTTTTTTTTGTTTTTTCCCCGATCATGACAAGGAGCACACGGCGGGTGTGACCGGTCGGCAGGGAATGCTCACTCCTCCATGGCACCTGATCCCACCTCTGATATTTTGGAGGTCCGTGTTTGCTCTGCACCTATTTTTTAATGCTTACTGGACTTTTGAGCTTGAATACTGTTCGTTATCTCCATATATTTCACCTCATGAAGTGGTTTCTATGGCAACATACCCTTGCCTGAGGTAATGATTACTCTGTTACAAACATATATTATGTCGTGGGATGAGTTCCACAACAGATGTCTCCTCTGTTCAAGCTATTATTTACTCCATCAAAACAAACCGAAAATATAAAGAGTATAAAATGTTACTGGTATTTTTTAAAAATGAGATACAAGCAACATTTATACATCTTCACTCCTAGGATTGCTTCCGTTTGAATTCTTTATTATAATGATTTTCCAATTTGTGTAAAATACGAATATTAATCTTTTTAATCATGATGCTTTCTTATGTTTTTGAGAAAACAGTGCCTTCTATTTTCTTCGCTGAAACTATATCTTCAAATACTTGCATTAGGAAATTAAAATTTTGTCCAAATGAACAAGGAAACTGCAAGAATTATTATGAAAGCAATTGTTTGAAAATCGAAGTCCAAGTGGGTCCAGATGATCTGATACTGCTTGCGTAGGGATGAGATGCACCAAGACCTGAATGCATTTTCATTCTTACTATAAATCCCGAGGAAATATTTCATAAAATTAAAATGTTTCACTCTGAGTTTCTGTAGATAATGAGAGACTCGTGGCGCCTGATCCCATGCAGCTATAGTGATTTTAGAGGTCCATGTTGGCTCTGCACCCGATTTGTATTGTTTCAATAGATATTTAAGCTTGATTACTGTTTGTTATCTCCATATTGCACTTTTTCTAAAATATTGGACTAAGAGCGTTTATGAAATACGAGGAGTTAGAAATAATATTGCGGCAATTTCTGAAGTTTTGATAGAGAAAAAGATCAATTTTTGATCATTTTTTGATTCTTGTCTAGAACGGCTGAACCAATTTTAACCAATTCTGATAGCAGCTATGATAATATTCAGTTTCTTAGAATTTCAAGCGACTCCATTCCTCTTTCCGTTATATCTGCATTACGCCTAAATGCATATGAAATCCTGGATAGTCCTCTGCACCTGTTTTCGACTTGTGTAGACAATATGGCATAGTCATCTGTTTTGGAGCGACCGTACGTTAAATCACAAAATTGGGTCATATATGACATTAATTTGATGCACCCTTTATGAAAAAAAAATAAAAAGATTAGATGCATGTGTTCCTGGTGCCCACAAAATAAAAGATTATGCAATATCACGATAGCTTTCGTACGATTTCACTAGTGCTACTTTCACTTCCGTGATCAATGTCAGGAGAATGTTTTCAATCAAGTAATGAGGCTTGTAAAATTTTAGATGTTGGATTGATATCAATCGTGTTTCAAAAATAAAAATCGGATTTGAAAATTTGATATTTTGGATATTTGAAGTAAACTTCTAAATACTCAAAATGTAAAAAGTGTTTTGTTATTTAAAATTTGAATGTTTGAATCAAAAATCTAAATTTCTAAAAATCTAAAACGTTTGAAAGTTGAAATTTAGAAGTTTGAAGTAAATTTGAAATAATCAAAAGACGAAAAATGGTACTGAATTTTAGATTGTTAAGCGTAAACTTTCCCAGTAAACGGTAGATTAAAAACTCAAAAGTTTAAAATGCAAAAGTCGTTTTGGGAAATTTGAATTTTGAATATTTAAGGAAAAAAATCATAAAAAATTAATTTTTTAAACCGATTTGGAAATTTAAACATTTAAATTTTTGAACAAAAATATTAGATTTCAATCAATTTGAGTTTTTGAAATTTAGAAATTTGAACTAATATATTAAAATTCTAAAACTCTAAATCATCTTAGAAATTTGAATTGTTAAGTGTTACAAGGACAAACAACGTGCGTTGTTTTTATTTATTTTTTGTTTTTATGAGGATGTTTACATTTTTTAAAAAAGTTTTTTTTTTTTTTTTTTTTTTTTTTTTTTTTTTTTTTACTTTTTTGTGATATTCCATATTTTATTTTCATAACAATTTTAGGGTCTGCGCCACAACTCTATATATGGCATTGTTTTATATCATTTAAAAAATAATAAAGCTGTTTAATTTACCTTACACTTGTAAGTTTTTGTTTATCTATTTTAAAAATTTCCTAAATATGTTAGACAGATATTCTACAAAAGGTCTGCAGAAATTTGGGTCAATTCTCGTATCATTGGGATTTTTGAAACAAATGTGTGGGAAGATTTTTAAATTAATATATTTTGAAAAAAAAAAAATAAAGGAACTATGTCATAGGACCTGTATACTGATACTTAATGCAATTTTAATAGACAGACAATCTCCACTTGGAATGAGTGGAAATTCGATTAGTAGAAAATTTCAATATAGTCATCGATTATCTTGCTATCAATTACAAATTATGCTTATTTGTATATTTTACTGTTCAGAGTCCCTGTTTAAAGATACAAAGAGGGCATTATTGTTTGTATAGTAGAGTTGCTCCTTAAAAATAATGACAGAGATTTGTGCATTAGAATAGCAGTAAGTTTCAGTAAAATTTCTATTGTACAATTATTTACAAGTTTTAGTCTGTATTTTTTCCTATTTTGCTAAACACTCATTGTATGTTGACAGTACAAGACGGACTCTATGAAATCATGCCTGAAGTCACCCCCGTATGATCTTTACTGATGTTCTTCAATTAAGAATATTTCTATTTTTGGAAATCTGTTGTTTATTGTCACTTGATAAATGCATTTGCAATACGTGATCGATGAAAATGCACTATTTTACCTGGTACTCCATATTTATTTTTTTAACCTATTGACACGGAGGAATTCATAAAAGTATGAAAATATAATGTTATTTGAGAGCAGGTCACTTTTTCCTACTCATTTCTCCATGTTGAATTAACATGGACAAGGATTCAGAATGACTTAAGCTGTTTTGAGAAATCTATGATGTGAATTTTTGTGTTAAATTTCAAAACTCTAAGGGATATTTGGAGAAATGTTTGTGTTGTGTGTTTGTATTCTTTATCAGATTTATAACATTTTTTTGTCTTTATAATCTTGTTAGGTCATTATTTACACACTGAATTGTCGACGGATTTTCCCCTTATTTCACGATCATGTCAAGGAGCACACGGCGGGTGTGACCGATCGACAGGGGATGCTCACTCTTCCATGGCACCTGATCCCACCTCTGATGTGTAGAGCTCCGTGTTTGCTCTGCTTCTTGTATTGTTTAATGGACTTTTGAGTTTGAATACTGTACGTTATCTCCATATATTTCATTTCAGACAAAGCGAAATTTCCGTATCTACTTCAGGATCGATTTCAGCTCTTCAAATGATTAAAAAATATTCTTAAGTTTAAATCGATATAAAAACGTTCTCTTTTTTTCTCATAATAATGATATTTTTCTCACAGAAGTTCAATACTTTGAACGATGACGCCAAAACTGCATCAAAACAAAACATTTACGAGATTTTAAAGACGACACGATTTGTAGCCAGATAACCGGGGTTAAGAAGCAACTACAATGTATATTGTATATGATTTCTTGGAAAGAGGGTAAATTAATCAGGTCTGCTGATTTTATTGTCATAAGTTTTTATACCAATGAAGAGAAGCATCTCTGCCATTATCCAGATCAGGATTTCCTCTGACATTCTTGACAACATCACAGAATGCAAATATAAATAATAAACAACGTTTATGATAAATAACGGGCGTCATGGAATATGTCTTTCTAATGTTTTTCATAAAACCATGTTCACTGAAAAATGTTATTCAGTTTTGAAGTGCATACGTTTTACTCTTCTATAATATGGAATGACTGAATCATTTTAATTCAACTATTTCTTTCGTATTTTTATATATGCATTTTTACCACATATCTTAAAAATAACTCAACCAAAAACAAATGAAAAAAACCTAAACTCTAAGAAAGTTTTTCTTTTGTTGTTTCTCATTACCTTAGTCATTTTTACTCAAATATGGATCCCTAAACACCCATAAGTACATGTGGATTTTTAAACCATGAAAGGGATAGCTGAACTTTATATATTTAAAACAAACACAACAACAAAAACAAAATTTATAGTGAAATAACTGAAAGATTTATTTTGAAATAGATTTTGAAATAGACAATTATTTAACAGATTACTCCATTGCAGCAATTGTCAAAAGTTGGGTTGTATGCTTTAGTCCCACAACAACTTGTGTCCGAGCCTTTTCTATTAATTACTCCGCTGCAGCAAATAAAAAACATAGGATTGTATGCTTTAGTTCCACAGCAACTTGTGTCCTGGCCTTTTCTCTTTATTACTCCGTTGCAGCAATTAAAAAACATAGGATTGTATGCTTTAGTTCCACAACAACTTGTGTCCGAGCCTTTTCTATTTATTACTCCGTTGCAGCAAATATCAAACATTGGATTGTATGACCGAGTTCCACAAACAGCTGTAATTGATAGTAAGCATTTGCTAGTAATCAAGACCACAAAACTTTGTATGAAAAGAGTGCCATTACTGGTTTAAGAAAGAGACAAAAGAATCGATTAATTTCATGGATATTAAAATTGATTATAGCGATCCTTTTTCCAAAAAAAAAAAAATCTAAAAATAAGTACATATTAAAATAGGTTAAATGCGATGAAAATAAAACCATATATATATTACCTAGGGCATCGGGTAGTGAATTTTTTTCTACACTTAAAGACGCTTCTTTTGTTAAAAAAAATAACATTAATAAAAAATAATAATAATAATAACCCCCCCTCCCCCAGAAAGTTTATTCGATACGCAGGGAGCATGCTATATATACGTATGAACAATTTCTAAAACGAGATTAGTTATTGACAAACAAGTTGATGAAACAAGAATATCAACAGTTTCGTTTAAAGTCATCATTTTCTAAGTTCTATGGTCGATACAATGATCTTGTCAGCAAATACAATCTATCATTAAGTCAAATGCTGACTGAGGTTTTCATACTAACTATTAGCCATTATTTACACACTGAATTGTCTACGGATTTTGCCGTTTTTTTTTTCCGATTACGACAAGGAGTGTTCCGTCAGCAAGAGATGCCCACTCCTCCATGGCACCTCATCCCATCTCTGATGTTTTAGAAGTCTGTTTGCTCTGCTCCTGATTTTTATTGTTTAAGTAGACTTTTGAGCTTGAAAACTGTTCGTTATATTCATATTTTTCATTAAGTCGAATGATAACTGACGTTTTTCATACCAATTGTCAGGCCATCATTTTCACACTGTATTGTCTACGGATATTTCCATTTATCTGGTCATGACGAGGAGCACACAGCGGTGTGACCGGTCGACAGGGGATGCTGTCAGTGCATTTGATCCCCCTCTGATGTTTTTAGAGGTCCGAGTTTGCTCTGCTCCCAGTTTGTTTTGTTGGACTTAGGAGCTTGATTACTGTTCGTTATCTTCATATTTCATATTAAACAGACTTTATAAATGCCTAAACACATATTATTTATCATGAAATTTTCCTATCAAATGAATTATCTATCTCGAAAATACCTGAAAACAATGCAAATCTGTGAGCATAATGATTTCCGGAATCAAGTTACATTTATACAAATACAGAATTAAATACTATCTTTTACAAAACACATTAGATAATTCATCGCTTAATTTGAGAGGTTCAGCCTAATGCTCACATTCAGTGTTTTTATAGTTAATGTCATACTTTTATCTCTTATTTCAAAAAGATACGTATCTTATAAACATAAAAAATACTATAATGATTTATTTATATAACAATAATATTGTTTATTTCATGAAAGAGAATTCAGAAGAACATTAGTGGGGTTTCAAGATTTCTCAAGCATTTTAAATAATTTTTAAAGCTTTTACAATATGTAAATTTAAGTATTTTGAATTGCTTTGTGATTTTTTCCCTCAGAAACCGTTTCCTCGATTTAATATTTTGGTGGTAAAATACTGATATACAAATAAGAATAATGTGACTATTTATTTAACTGTTTAATGGACGCAGAGGAATACCTGCAGGCATGTCAATTTATTTTGACAAAAATAAATATAAAATGAAATAAAACTGTGTTACTTGAAAATGAATATTTGATAAATGAAGAAAAGAATAAATAAATAAATAAATACGAGGGGCATTTGAAAAGTTCTGAGAACTGCTTGCTAAAATATTAACCATTTCACAGAAGTTAATAAGTTTGATACCATTGAAAAGAGCTGGAAAATTTGCACTTATATGAACGTCATTTTCTTATATTTATGACGTAATAAGTTCAAAAATGACGTCAGAATCTCGAATGTTTAGCATACTGAAAAGTCGCGTTTTTGTTCACATGAGAACATACAAAAAGTGCTGTCAAAGGCTTCTTTGAAAAGATCTTGCAAAGAAAATTTGCACGGAAGTAAGAGTAAGACTTTAAGATTGGTACGGTAAATCAGCAATTCCATATTTTAATTTTTTGCTTAGTTAATAAGCACGGTAATGTTATCTTAGGCGTTTATAACAGATTTTAATTTATATGATATAGCTGAATTTTCGGTCTATTATAAAGCTCTCCACTATATTAAATAAAACATATTCTATATAAAACTCAAGTGTAACAATGCAGTTTTCCACAAATGTATCTTGAGGTTCAGGACTCTTACCGTTTACGAATAAGACGTACAAAAGTCTTCCCCGGGACAAGTTTCTGTGCGTATTTTTTCATATTATTTCAACTTCGGCAAACTCACTATTGCTTTTGACTTTCGGCTCCAAAAAAATAAATCTGAGTTTCATTGCAATGTACAATCTTATTTATTTTCCATGATTGAAAATTTTCGAACATATTGAGTAACGGTGGGGTTAAAACTACACCGGCGCCATTTTGGTTTTTACGAGAAAATATGGGACATCTTTAGCTTAACCTCTCTTGAGCTTTAATCGTTCCCGCATAATTGGTTAAAATACCTGACGAATTAATGCCAGCAAATTCTGTAATACCTTCCACTATTCTACTGTGGTTTTAAACTTTGTGGTTTTCTCACAGCAGCGTCTTTTTTACTCAATATTTTGCGCGAGATTCGATAATAACATGCTATGTTTGACACACTCTTAAACCACCTCAGAACTTTAGGAGCTCCTGAACATAACCTCCATATGATAGACTGTAGTCTATGTAAACATTCTACCAACTGATAGTTGTGTCCGTTGGCGTGCATCCGAGTAATGAACAAACGTTGACTTTAAAATTTTACTTCACTGAAATTGTGTCTCTTGTTACGTCATTTTTATGGCAAGTTTGCTAAACATTCGAGATTCTGACGTCGTTTTCGGAGTTATCACGTAATAAAATTTACAAAGGGACGTCACAATATGTGTATATTTTTGTGATCTGTCCAATGATATCAAACTCAATAATTTCCGTTTAACGGTTAATATTTTATCAATCAGTTCTCAGAACTTTTCAAATGCCCCTCGTAAATAAATAAATAAATAAATAAATAAATAAAATAAAAAAAAATGATATCAAATTAAACTAATGGAAAAAAGATAAGTGAACAAACCTCGACCAAATGAGGAATTTGCAAATGGAAGGCAAAGAAGTGAAACCAATGCCAAATACAAAATCATTGTGAAGTGTCTGTTTGTTCTTTTCTATAGAGGCTGCAATATAAAGGAAACATCTAATTTTGAATTCATTTTTTTTTTATTGGAAAATACTGTGATTATCAATGGACTATTGTATCACTTTTATTATTAGATCATTTTTTGACATTTCAATGTTAAAATTCCTGCTATTTATTTTACAAATAGAAGATGTTCCTAAATCAACTTTACCTTAATCTATGTTCTGCCTTTCTGAAAGATTCAATCCAGATCAGTTTATATATAATGCTTTTAAATTAAATTCAGCAGAAACCTGTTCAAATAGATGATTTATTGATTATTAAAAATGTGCAGAAAAAAACTAAGTTTGACAGTATGACATAACTAGCCATCGCTCCTATCAATCATGTAGGGAGATTCGTACTTTACTTTGATAGATGTTATGCCCCCTTCGTTATACACCTAGTTTGTTAATTAATCATTCGAATTAAAGAATTGCACGATTATATAATAATGATAATAATATTAATAATAATAATAAAAAAACAACGACATGGGGTAAGATTTTTGCATTAGGCCAAAATCTGTGTATCGAGCTGTAACAGCATAGACGTCAAACAGTCCACAATGAAAGTGTACATAATATATATCATAAAATTGCTGTAATGTAAAAAAAATAATTTTTAGTTCCTAGTAGTAGTGAATGTAGTAGTTGAAATAGTTGTTGTAGTAGAAGTAGTAGTGGACTTTTGAGAGAAGTACTGACTTTTACAGTTGACTGTTTACTTTGACATTTAAACCTGTATTATGTATGGAGGTACAGAATTAATAATAGATGGGAAAATATTTCTAGTGGTCATAGGTATGGTGTTAGGGGCACTAACATGTGAAGGCCGGAAGTTAAGGGTAAAATGGTTGTCGTTTTCTTCAAGGGCAATTTATTTGTGCTTTGAAATAACCCGTTATTTTCGTTTGATTAAATGCTGACCTAAATATTTAAATCGTAGAAGAGCTTCCGTACATTATCCTAGTGTAAAAGTAAGCCGTCAACTGTAAAAGTCAGCGCTCCTCTCAAAAGTCCAGTAGTAGTTGTAGTGGACTTTTGCAAGAAGCGCTGACTTTTACAACCTACGACTTACTTTTACTCTGGGACAATATACTGCAGCTCTTTTGCGATATAAATATTTAGCTTAATAGTTAATTCAAAGATAATAATCGGGCATTTCAACGCATATATTACGTTTTCTATGGAGGGGAATGTAAAACACCCTATACTAAACCCCTCTCTTCCCACTTGACCAACTCCTGCCAAGTTTTTCTTCCGAAATTTCTTTTCTTCCTTATTTGCAACTGATTCCTTCATAAAATGAGATTGAAAGGAAATACTGCCCCGTACAAATAAGGTACTTTAAAATATGTTATTCTACCTCACATCATCTCTCGGGTTGATTGCATACAAGTAAATCATGTAAGTGCCCCTAATACCATACCTATGACCACAAGCAAGGTTTTCTAATCTAAAATCAATTCCGTACCTCCGAACATAACACATGTTTAAACGTCAAAGTAAGCCGTCGAGTGTAAAAGTCTAATAGTAGTAGTAGTAGTAATAGTAGTGGAAGTATTCCTTCCTCGCCTTTACCGTTTAAAAATTTTCGAATTTGTCATTGTAATAATCTTCCTATCACATGGTTTATTCAAGCATGCGTAATAAAGATATTAAAGATAACAAAATAGCCAATATCATCTATGAGCAGTGGTAGTTGGCAGTGAGCAGTTTGACAGTAAGCAGCAGGCCCTATGTGGGTGATGCATATTATCTATAAGCTGAGACACTTGGCAGTAAGCAGAGAGCAGTTTGCATTGTTTATCATTATTAGTATATGGAATTCCATAAATAGAGAGCCAAAAACTTTTAAAACCAACATTTATTTCAATTATAAGATTTAGATTTTTAACAGAATAACATTTACGGCAAGTAAACTACTGATTCACAAGATGCGTCGTTTTCTTTGTTTGTTTTTTTTATGAGGGTGTTTACTTTGTACTTTTTTGCGATATTTCATAACAATTTTAGGGTCTGCGCTGCATGGAGATAACGAACAGTATTCAAGCTCAAAAGTTTATTAAACAAAACAAATTTTGGAGCAGAGCAAACACGGACCTCCAAAACATCAGAGGTGGGATCAGGTGCCATGGAGGAGTGAGCATCCCCTGCCGACCGGTCACACCCTTCGTGTGCTCATTGTCATGATCGGGTAATAACGGAAAAATCTGTCGACAATTCAGTGTGTAAAGAATATCCTAACAATTAGCATGAAAATCGTCAGTCAGCATTTGACTCAATGATAAATTGTATTTGCTGACAAGGTCATTGTATCGACCATAGAACTTAAAACGAGACTGCTGATAATCTTGTTTTATCAGCTTGTTTGTCAATAACTTAGAAATTGTTCATACGTAGAGTATGCAGGTGGTATGGGTATATTGCTGCATAAGTAAGGGAAGTTGACGATTGGAAAGGTAAAGTCATCACGTTTATCATGAAGCTTTGTTGTTAGGTTACTATTAACGTCTTTTTCTTGTAAAATATCTAAATATGAAACAGATGTGTCAGAATCTGTTATATCTTTTATTTCAAGCTCACTGGGATATATCGAGTCGACATATGAATGAAAGTAACTACTGCTAATTGATAATACGTCGTCGATATAACGAAATGTCGAAATGTCGAGTTGAAGGCCACAGCAAGTGTTTTCTTCTTTTCATGTAGAAGTTTTGGAATAAATTCTGTCTCAAATGAATACAAAAATAGGTTTGCTAATGGGGGGGGGGGGCAATTGTTACCTATGGGAATTCCAACAGATAGTTGGAAGACGTGATCTCCAAAAGCTACATAGATATTGTTAATCAGAAACTCAAGCATCTTTTTCATATCAACTTTAGAGTATTTGTGCGTACAGTCAGAATGCTTTTTAACAAAATAATTTTATAGATGACCAATGACAAGGTGAGTATATTTACGAGTTCCATTTTTATTGAAAAAGCAGCTGTCTGTGATGTCAAAAAGCCTGGACTTCAATTAATCGTGGGGAATGGTTGTATAAAGTGTTGAAAAGTCGTACGTTTTGATTTTAGTAAACTTTTGTGATTTCAAATTTTTTAAAAGTTTTTTTGAGTTTTTAAGTATCCACATCTGATTTACACCACTTCTTGAATATAATGCTGTACAGTACTCCTAAAGTTTCTCCTTCATTACAGTAAATATTTTTGTGAGGAGTAAAGAAAGAGGCTTGGTACAACATTTACTGGAACCCGCTACATGAATATATCTTTGTAAGGATTTTTATGAAATTTAGGAATCCAGTAAAGGTATGGTAATTCAAATTCATTTTGATTGTTGGGAATATTAAAAATATCTAAAACGGACATATGATTTTGAAGAATTTCCTCCTTAGAAAGGGAGCTATGGGTGTAAGTTGGATTTACAAATCTGTGAAGAAGTCATAAGCATGGACTCCTGGAAAATCCAAAAGGGGACCAGGTGCCCAGGAGAAGTAAACATCCCCTTGCGACCGCTCACACCCGCTGTGAATCCTATGTATTGATCAGATGGATGGAACATTCTGTAGTCACATTCTGTATAAAAACAAAAGCATAACAACTGGCATGAAACAAATCAGCCAAAATACAACCCAATGATAGACACATTTATTATTTTGAATTTTTGTGATAAATTTCAAAACTCCAAGTAATATTTGGAGAAATTAATGTTCGCTTTTTTGTATTTGTATTTTTTATATAATTTACAGCAATTTCTTTTCTGAACCTTCTTCTTCTTCTTATTTTTTTTTTTACACAAGGCGTATCTATTTCAAGATTGTTTTCAGCTCTTAAAATAAATGAAAAACATTTTTAAGGTAGTACAAAACACCCATGAAATCTATTTGAACTAATTTCTTAAAAATTACATGAAAAAAGAGAATATTATCCCTATATAATTAATAATCAATGATCTTTGTTAGAAAAATAATAAGCTGTGACATGTTTTCGTCATATTTTCTTTAAACATTATAGACATCCTATATATTGGTCACTTGGGGCCTTACATTTAAAGGGTTTTTATCACGTATCTAAATTTCTTAAAAATGAAACAATATTATATTCTTGAAACATATAATTATCGTTTAATTATGAAATGATTTTGAAAACAATTACAATTAGGCGATAAAACGCCCGTAATATTGAGTTCTCGAAGTACAAATCTCCACTAATTAGATAGGGGTCACGTGGTACTGAAACGCCATACAGCGAAAACGAATCCGTTGACAACTCGGAATTTCGACTAAATAGTACGAATTACTCAAGTTTGAATTCGTAAATATTTATGAATATGAGAATTTTTAATTCAACTTCTTCATTATTTAAAAATATGTATAATATGTTGACGGTGCGACCGTTAGGGCGAGCACAGACATCTATTCAGGTTTAATTTAGATCGGGATCGATCGTCAAACTGCACGTGACATTTGGTGCGTCTAGACTTTGAAGTCATTACCAAACCGAAGCCTGAACATTGTTGACTTTAACGAAGAATGTTTAATTTACTATTTACACGTAACTGCAATATATCCATTAAATCAAGGCGAGTTTATTTTTTGTTAAACTTTTGTTCTTATTCTCGCGAGAACCTAGCTTAAACAAGCGATGCATTGTGGGTCCAAAAGTTACTGCGAAAAAAAAAATCGTTTGGATCAATGTGTAAGTCCGAATTTTCTCTTCGCCCAGGCGTTGTCGTTAGAGCTCGCATTGAAAGCGGCGCTTTGCGCCGCTCGCTGCGCTCGCTATAAATAAAAATCTTGTATATCTTCTATCTGTTCCAGTGAATATCATGTACTCTACAACAGTGTTCAATGGCGCCGTACGCCATTGCGAAGTTCACAATATTCCCACTAGATTCTGTGCCACTTTAAAAATGCGTGTTGGGTATTTTTTCCCGTTTAAGAAGGGTACCATGTCTTAAAAATAATTTTATAGTAC